GTTACCTTCTGATTCCCAAGCGATGTTGAGAAAGCTTGCATCTCCTTTTGCACATCCAAACTTGCTGTTCCAATAGCACTGGTATTTGCACGCTCCAACTCTTTCCTCTTTTCTTTTAATTTAAGCAGAGTTCCTTTCAACCTAATGAGCCACGCAACTGCAAATTTCAATCTTTGCCAATCAGAGAAATGGGTCATCAATTGCGATGTGGGATTGGTGTCAACAAGTATAGCATTGACTGTCAGACTGTTCTTTACTTCTGGGTCATCAGCAGTGACACTTGTATCCACAGGAAATGTTGGCCACATTTCTTCAGGTTCCCATAGGAATTTTGGGCCTTCTATCCATCTTTGCTTCACAAGATCTTCTGCCTTCAATCCACGTGAAGCATCATCAGCAGGGTTCAAAGATGTGGGAACATATCTCCACTGCTTAATTTCCGAGTTGAGCCTGATGGTGGTTACCCTGTTAGCTACAAAGGTTTGAAATCTTCGGTCCTCATTCTTTATGTACTTAAGAACTGATGTGCTGTCAGTCCAAAAGCAAGTCTTCTTTAGTGGAAACTGGAGCTCCGATCGAAGCATCTTGTCCACTCGTACTGCTACAACAGCAGCAGTGAGCTCTAAACGGGGAATGGTCACAGTCTTCAGTGGGGCCACTCGGGCTTTACCAAATAAGAAAGTAACATGAACTCTCTTTTCCATGTTCTGCATCCTCAGGTAAGTAGCTGTACCATAGCCGTTCTCGCTCGCATCAGCAAAGTGATGCAATTGGGCGCTGACAGTCGTCCCAAATACAGCAGGTTTCACACATCTGTGGATCTTAAAATATGCCACCTTCTCAAGATCTGTCAGCCATTTGTTCCACTTCTGCTGAAAGGCTGGAGGTATTGGATTGTCCCAATTATACTTCATCCTGCATAACTCCTGCAACAGCAGCTTGGCCGGGAATACTATAGGCGCCAAGAACCCCAAAGGATCGTAGACGGAACTGATGATGGATAGCATGCCTCGCTTGGTTGCCGGCTTCTCCTTGACTTTCAGCTTGAATTTGAAAGTGTCCGTCTCGATACACCACTGCAAACCCAAAGCTCTGTCCAGCGGCAGCTTATCCCTGTCCAGATCAAGCTCTTGCAGGTTCGTGGACTTGAGATCATCTGGGAGGCTTTGAAGCACTTCTCAACTATTACTGATCCACTGAGTGAGGGTAAACCCTCCTTTGCCGCAAATGGTTATAAGGTTTTTAACCATGGTAACTGCATCCTCTTCAGAGGGCAGACTCTTCAGTAGGTCATCCATATAGAAGTTTCTGTTGATCGTTTCAATCACTTCTGTTGGAAAATTAGCCTGATTGTCTTCAGCAGTTTTTCTAAGAGCAAGGCAGGCAACACTGGGTGAGGAAACCGCTCCAAATAAATGGACAGTCATACGATGCTCTACAAGATCTTGCTCCAGGTTACCTTGAGGCCACCATAAGAATCTTAGGTAATCCCGATGTTCCTCTGCCACCTTAACCTGGTGGAACATAGCCTTAATGTCCGCCATTACGGCCACTTGTTCCTGTCTGAATCGCATAAGAACTCCAACTAACGAGCTGGTTAGGTTCGGTCCTTGCAAGAGCTGACTGTTGAGCGAAATCCCTTTGTACTCTGCTCCACAGTCAAACACCACTCATAATTTTCTTTTCCGTGGATGGTACACGCCATGGTGCGGAATATACCACACCTTCCCCATTGGCGTTTCCAACTGATGCTGCGACACTTCTTCAGCATAGCCATTGCTAATAACATCAGAAAGAAAGTTGTTATACTCTTCATGAAAGCCTGCATCTTTTTGAAGTCTCCTTTTCAGACCACGAACACGTTGCATGGCAACACAGAGGTTATTCGGCATTGAAACATCTTTCCCTTTGAAAGGCATTTGAAACGTGTAATGTCCATTTTTAAACTGAGCAGAGCCTTCCATTATCTCCACAAACTTCTTCTCTTCCCTTGACATTTCTTCCTGTTCTGCAGAATCTTGCTCATTGAAGTCGTAGTTGTACTGGCTGGTTAACAGTTCTTCAATTATATCAATGGCAATTCTGTTGGCATAAACTAAAGGGTGGTCAATTCCACAGTCACTACTTCCCCGAAAAGGACCATTTATTACCCATCCCAGTAGGGTTCTGATCGCGTAGGGTCCTTCACCATCACGACTGTTAATCACCTCCCAAGGCTCCATCAACTTGGAGGCGTTTGTGCCAATTAATAGGTCAACCTCAGCATTTATATGGGGAATCTTTACATCGTCTAAATAAGGCCATTTTCTCAGCTCCCTTTCACTAATTATGTTGGCTGTAGAGATAGGTATCTCTTCCTGGGTACACACTTTAGAAAGTGAATAGAAGCACTCACCAGAAACTCCTGAAATTTCCAGATTGTCAACAATGGAGCTTTCTACTGCGTTATCATGGCCCAAGGTGCGAATGTGAATTTTGCATTTGCGTCCTTCCACATTCAACTTGTCGATGAGCTGCCTGGTGCAAAAAGTTCCTGTACTCCCCGGGTCCAGAAAAGCATAGGTTTCAATAACCTTGTTTCCTTTTGAGCACTTCACCTTAACAGGCAAAATGGGAAGAATTCCATTGCAGTGACCAGCCCCTGTAAGACAACAAGCGGAGGATGTTGTGCAGCTGTCGGAGGAATTCGACGCCTCAGTAAATTTCTGCTCACCATCCTTCTGATCCTTTTGAATAACTCTTTCCATCTCTCCTATATGCAAAACACTGGGGTGCGTTCGGTTACACTTGTTGCAAATAATGCGCCTATCGCAATCTTTACTCAAGTGTCCTGTGCACAAGCAACTGAAACACAGACCTTTCTCTTTTAGATAGTCCAGTTTCTCCCTGTGTGTCTTTTTCCCCAGTTTAAAACATTGTTCCAAAACATGATTACCAGCAGCACAATACAGACAGGAAACAGAATCAGTCTTGGTAAAGGATGTTCCTTTTTTCTGAGCCATTTCCTCGGTACTATCTGGTTTGCTGTATCCTTCCTCAATGACCACCTGTGTTATGGTGTTTCTTCCCAACTGAGGTTTTACCTGTGACTTGTTTACTTTTGTAGCTCCCCTAATAACAGGTAAATTGTCTTGTATATCACCAAAGACTGGATCTGCAGTGATTCTGACCTGGCGCTCGATGAACTCCACAATGTCTGGGAATTGTGCTCTTCGCCCAGTTTTCTCCAGTATCTCACATGCCCTTGCTCTCCACTTGTCTCTGAGTCTGTATGGAAGCTTTTGACACAGAATCTTTATGTTTGCTGGCATGTTAAGTTCCTCTAAATACCGAAGGTCCTCCATAGCGTTGGAACACTCACGGAGGAAGAGACCATATGCTTTGAGCGCGTTGGGGTCCTCAGCTTTGATACTTGGCCATCCTATGACTTTCTCCATGTATGCTTCTGTTATCTTAAACTCATTTCCAAAGTGTTCCTTGAGCAATTTTTTGGCAATAGCGAATCCTCTATCTGCATTCATATGAAGGCAGCTGCGCACAATATCTCTTGGCTGCCCCCTAGTAAATTGCTCAAGATAATACAAACAGTCACCTTTACAGCTGGTCTTTGCCTCCACACAATGTTCAAACGCCTTTATAAATGTGTTGAACCTTAGAGGATCTCCATCATAAATTGGAATTTCTCGGCGTGGCAGCATTTGTAAAGTTTGCATTTTAACAAGAAGAGCTGTTATATCATTCTGTTGCTGCAGCAAATTGTGGATACCTGCTGTCTGATTTTGGCTTGGCAGGGGTTTATGTTGATCCAGAGTGGATGGAAAGCTTTGAGTTACAGTTGGCTTTGGCAAGATAGATGGATTGGTTAAAGGTAAAGCATTGCTTTGTAGTGGTGGAGATGCATATCGCTGTGAGTGCGGAGGCACAAATACTGAGGCCTGTGGATTGAGAGGGGTGGGTGGGAGCTTAGATCTAGCTCCTTTCCTAATATAGGACGCTATTCCATCAGATTGCCTTGAATGGGTGCTACTACCGACCTGTAGCACTGCTAACTTAGCAGAAGTGGCAGCTATCTCAGTGTCCATCTCAAGTTGCTCCTTCTTTCTCCTTAAGATGAGCTCCTGCTCCTCCAATGCATATTTGTCCTTTAAGGCAGCAGCTCGAGCCAAGAGTGCAGCCTGTTCTGCCCTTGCCCTGAGTCTGGCTGAAGAAGTGGAGGATCTACTACTGGAGGACCCACTACTTGAGCCATGGTGCCTTGACTGCACATTTGAAATGCTGTCTTGAGGTTGAATCTGATCATCTTCCTCATCCTTTCCACCAGCATTTCCTCTTCCATTGCTGGCATCAATCTCATTTCCATTTTCAACATCAACATTTTGAGTTTCAATTTGAACCGGCAAATCATCATGATCATCATTCACTTTAGTAACTGAACAAGCTTTAGTGTCATACAACCATTGATTTGTACCCACAAAAAACTCATTGAAACTCAACATTTTCGCTTGATACCATATTTCATGTTTTTTTGCTTCATCAGCAGGCAATAAACCCAATAAAGATGTATGTACATGCTAAATTTCATCACACAACTTATTGTACATGTTAAATTCATGTTCAACCTCACTGACATGCCTTTTATCACCCATCAATTTAGTAATAGATTCTTTTGCAATTGACAATTTGCTAAATTTACACTTTCTTTCCTTTTCTAAAGTGCTTATTTTTTCCAACAAAGCTTTGGGTGTTAATTTAACCACACGTTTTTCAGTCTCAGGGCCAAGCTGGCCTTTTCCCTTTTCAGTCATAATGACAACACAAAGCGATTTAGCTTATTAATCAATAAGTTCGCAGAATAGTTTTGTGTTGCGCAACAACTCGTCTAGACGCGTAAAGTTATTTTTAGACGGTTGCGAATTACCACCAATGCATTGGTTTTACGTGAATGTGTGCACACAAATTACCATGGCCAAGAATAATATCAGCGCTGTTTACCACATACCCCAATCGAGCGTTGGCCGGCTTGATGAATGGTGTCCCGATGTAAAGATGCTGATAATCCGTTGACCCAGCAGCTCGCTCCGGTACAGCTCCTTTCAGCAATCGGCAACTCCAAACATTTGCCCTCCTCACATCCGTGATTTCCAAACGAACACAGTAAAATCCACTTTATGGCTGGCCCGGCCGCGTCCTCACGAACGATTATCCAAATCGAAGCAGTTTTCGACCTAAATGTACTGACTAAGTCCTAAACAAAGTCTAGTACTGGTTGCTGATTTCGTGGATTTAAGTTTAGACATGTGCGTGTGATCTTACACGTAAAATAAAGACGGAGAGCGTTCATTAATGTTATTATTATCTAGCAATTTATTTTCCTGCATATCATACAGCGGCAATATCTTAACTCATAATATAACATACAACACACCGTATCATTTACCCCAAGCGCAAGACCATGGGCACAGTCGAAAACTGTTTGCTTCTCAATCAGCGACACCTGTGTCTGAGTTACCTCCAAATTAAAAGACTTACACGGGCTGACCCGAGATCAGCTGTGCCACAAAGCACATACAGCCCCCTAGTGGCACAGCACAAAATTGACAAATACAAAGTGAATATGGCTCATACACCAGCCATAAAAATTACAAAGAACTCAACTGACAGCTATTATGTGGACTGTCTGTCATGTTGTCAAATCAGCCATTAAGTTAATTATAGCCCCACTGAAAGTCACATTGTATGGATGAGCCAAAGTATGTGTAACAAGACAGCTAGCACAAGGCAGCCAGTCAGACTTTAAAAACAAAAGGGCACTGTTTATTAGATTCATGTGCAGAGCCCCAAAAGCTGTCATACTTCTAGTGGAGTACAAACCTGTCCAGCAAGCAAATTGTCATAATTTCCCAGCGGTAGGCTACAGTTTCATCAGTCTGCAGAGGGTGAATTTATTTCCACAGATTAGAGAAATTGGAGGAACAATACATTTTCTTTCTTTTTTTTATATTTGGCATTTGTCATTTACTGTACAATTCCACAATGCAAACATCATAGTTATTATAACTGTACGTGATTAGCTTGACAACTTGCTGCTATTATGTGTCATGAGCAATTGCGAGACTTTGATGATGAAATAAACAGAACATTGACTGACATTTTCCACATGCAGTCTGGCATGGTAGATCACTGTGAACCCCACAGTAAAAAAACTGAAGGAGGTTTACAAAGTCTATAATTGGCACTATGATTTGTACAAGAGTAATTTTCATTATTCAAATATTAAGCCGGTATAATGAAGCAAAGGTGCATGCCTGGAACATGTGGGCAATTCCAGAGACCTTAAAGGGATATTTACCACAAAATGAGCTTTGTGTCATCATTTACTAACCCTTTTGTTGTTCCAAGCCTGTATTTCCTCTGTCGAACACAAAATAAGATATCTCAGTTTTTGTTTTGTCTATAGGCCAATGGGTTTCAGTGTTGTTTTGGACTCCACTGACTTTTATTGAATAAAACAGGTAAAACAATCTTATTTTGTGTTCTGCAGAAGAAATAAAGTCATTCAGGTTTGTAACGACAGGAGTAAATAATTACTATTCATTTAAATTCTATCCTAGATATAAATCAAACTTATATAATTCACCACTTGCATTGTGCAAACATCCAGCCTTCTGTCCTGGTCTGTGTATTAAATCTCTCAGCATAGTCCGCCAAAGTGACTCCCCCTCAGCTTCATCAAATTTCCTTCAAGATTTACAATGTTGTTGTCGGCATCCGCTATTTTACACACGCGGTGATCAAAACAATGGAATGCAATAAAAGTAAATTGACTGGCTGAGCGCATGCGCAGGTGCGACGGCCAGGCCTACATCTGGAAATCCGAGTGCTTACGACACTTTAGGCTACATGCGACTCTTCTTGAAGTCTTGATGGGTTGTTGGCAGTGCTAATGAATCGTAAAATGGTTGCTCTGAGTCATCAGCAATAAACTGTACCTTCAACTTTTCTTTTTTCTTTTTTTTTTTTTTTTCCAGCCAGAGGGTCTTTCTCCATTGACACATTTACTCAGCTGCACTCCTCGCAGCTGCACGCAAGGATGTAACGGTAAGTTGCGGTTATTCGTGTCCCGCCCGAGCATCGCAGACGTACCGCCTTCAGTTTGGAGGTGTGTGGACGGCAGCAGAAACACGTGCTTTTGAAAGGCTGCTTCAGGACAGAGCTGAAAGAGATCAGCGGGTCTGAGCGGGACGTGTGGCTGCAGTGACCCTCACATCGAGCCAGGAGAACCATCTGTAGAGCATAAAAGGTTCATGGTTGAGTAAACGGGTGTTAATCTTTCTCTTGAAACACATTAAATAAAATATCTATCTATCTATCTATCTATCTATCTATCTATCTATCTATCTATCTATCTATCTATCTATCTATCTATCTATCTATCTATCTCAGTCTTAAAACTATAAAGTGAAGTTCGTTGGGACAAACTTGTGTTGACAAACACTTCTATACATTGTATAAGCTTTCAGCATGTTTTATTATGTTGCTAACAAGTTTTATCATGTTTTATCATGCCGTGGCATGTGTCTAGTGCTCTAGCCTATTAAGTTTTTTTTTTTATGTTTTTAACATGTTTTAGTACACTGCTAGTGTTTAATAACATGTTGCAAGCATTTGAACAAGTCAACATTAATTAGCATTTTACTAGCATTACCAACTTGATAAAAATGTCTCTAACATGTTTTAACACTTTGCTAGCATGTTGCTAGCATGAATGACAGCACATTGCTAACATGTTAACATATTGCTTGCTAGATTAGCACAATTCTAGCATAGTAACAGTGTTTTAACACATTGTTAACGTCTGTCTGTCTGTCTGTCTGTCTGTCTGTCTGTCTGTCTGTCTGTCTGTCTGTCTGTCTGTCTGTCTGTTGAACGTTGAACCAACGTCAGACGCGTCATTCTTTCAAAACTAACGGAAAATCAACTTGAAATCAACGCGTTGTTTCAACGTTATGAAAGCAAACCAATTTTCGATTTTCATTTAGCTTTGAAGAATGCCGCGTCTGACGTTGGTTCAACGTTAATTCGATGAGCAAAATCAACGTTGTTTCAATGTCATGAGAGACGTTGTTTCCACGTTGATTCAATGTCAGTTTGCTGACTGGGTCTATCTATCTATCTATCTATCTATCTATCTATCTATCTATCTATCTATCTATCTATCTATCTATCTATCTATCTATCTATCTATCTATCTATCTATCTATCTATCTATCTATCTTCTTTCTTTCTTTCTTCTTCCTTCCTTCCTTCCTTCCTTCCTTCCTTCCTTCCTTCTTTCTTTCTTTCTTTCTTTCTTTCTTTCTTTCTTTCTTTCTTTCTTTCTTTCTTTCTTTCTTTCTTTCTTTCTTTCTTTCTTTCTTTCTTTCTTTCCCATAAGCGTTTCTTTTCTCTTTGAACCTCACTTAAAGAATGTGTGTCTGTGCCACTCAAACCAGCAACAGATAAAGGAGAAAATGATCATTTAAATAAGACTGTACTTTACTGTTTGATTGTGCCAAATCAAACCACATTTATAGAATTCAATTGATCTGTCAGAGGTGAATATATTCAGGTTATAAAGCATTTTAGCTTCTTCTGATCATATAAGTGCATTAAGAGAAAAAAAAACTATATCGATCATTTGTAAAATGATATAACTATTAATTTTGTTTTAAGAAATTATTTTCAGTCTACATTTCTATAGTCCCAAATTGGCCTTCGCCCTTTTTTGAAGACATCAACAAAAATTGCAATGTGTGTAAGATTTTCAGACTAAGTAGTTTTACCAGTGGTGGGCATCCTTCATTGTCTGACTCTGCACAAAAGAAAGCGTCCTGTGCCATACCTAATTTGAACCCCGTGTCAGAAGAACTAAGATAAGTTTCCTGAGAAAGTTTGCAGTGTTGAACAAAGAAAGCTTGTGTACTCTCTCACTTTGACCTTGCACCTGCATGGTGATGGGAGTGTGGTTGATCTCTCCCAGACCTGGATGCTCAGGCTACTTGACTCCCCCAAATACCTCAATCTCACAAATTTGCCTCATCTGCTTTGTGAGGATTGTTGTGTGACAGATGAAAGGCTTTGCACTTCGCAGGACCGATTTATGGGGGTCAGTGATCCACCTGGCTACATCGCTGGAGTTCACTGGCTGATAAAGAGAGATTCGCTCATCAAAAAAAAAATCCCCCTTTGAAAAGCTCTGTCCTACATGAGAGTTCTCTCGTAATTAAAGATTAATGAGTGATGCTCATCTGCAATGATAGGCACAAACGTGACCCAGTTCAATGGTCTACTGATTCGGGATATGAGGTGCTGGCCAGACCGCGGGCCGCCACATTCCTGAACACTCCGTAAATGGACTCCTATGTCATGTTGTCTTTCAGCTGCATAGTGTTAGCGGAGTGTCACCCCCATTATAAGGAACACTAGCCCGTCTGAGGCCAAAAAGCACCCGATATGCATCACTCATGGTCCGACATCCATGAATGAAGCCGCATTGACTTGCTGCTTTTAGCTGATGTCATTATTTAATGTCACCTGAAACTGTAGGCATACGGCCATGTTCGTAAAACAATCGGAGGATAGATGTGGGGGATTTCAGAGGGGGGTGCAGTGGAGGTGTGTGCCCACAGAAGATGAATTTTCAAGGAAACATGGCAAGGTGACAAGAGCTGGGCAGCAGTTGTAAGCTCTTCTTCCCGTCTATATTTATCTCAGAGTGACTGCGCAGGTGGACCCTATTGTGTAGCACCACTGAAATTTGCATGGAAGCAACAGCCATCCTCATAACTAATGCAATGTGTAATAGGCTTCTTTAAAGGTGACTGCGTTGAGCTCAATCCATTGTGCTGCTTTTAGACAATGGGCCTGTGTACATGCTGATGTCTGTCAATCAGAAACTAATAAAATATTTCACTGTTGTAACCAGTAGAGCTGATTTTCCAATTCACAAGCTCTCAGTTCGATTCAATTTTATTTGATTCCGATTCATTTGGGTATATTTCAGTTATAAAATACGTTTTGCTTGCGTATCAAAGAAATGATCTCCCAGCTGATGCTGTATATTACACAGGTAAGCTTCTAAAACCGTTATAGAGTTGTTCATTATAGAGTTCCAAGAGTGCTGACTCCAACAACACTGAGTTTGTATCCCTCTTATTGTCTGGATTTGTTTGGAAATATTAATGTGGTTATTGAACTTGTATAAAGAAATCACTTTTTTTTTGGGAGTACACTGGTTGCTCTAAATAGTTTTGATTCACTAAAAGGGATATTTGTTCATAAATCAAATAGGCTGTGTCCGAAATCTCTCACTACTCACTATATAGTGGACTATATGGTGAGCTCGCCATTTTGTAATGCTGTCCGAATATATAGTGATGATTATAGTCCACTCAATATATCCCAGAATGCATTTTGAAAAGTAGTGTACAACCGATGGTCACTAACCCAAGCCCTAGTGTTTCTTATTATTATTATTATGCTGGTGAGCTCACTATATAGTGCTCATAGGGGGTAGGGAGTAGTTTGAGTGGAGATTTCGCACACAGCCATAGTCTTCACTTAGTTCACTAAGTTTGTTGTATCATTGAAATTCAGACTGCAAACTCAAACAAAATATGACCTGCCATACCGTATGACTGATGGTGGTCCTTCGTGAACATGTCAATGACAATGAAAAATGACGAGGATATTTTTCTCATAATTTATCACTGATCGGAGGTTGATATGATAAATGTTTTTAGGGAATTTGCCTTTTGAAAACATAACTTTCTATCGTCAAATGAACAAAATTGCTTGAATAAAGATTGGCTAATTTTGCTGAATAAAATTCAGAGATAAAGACTGTAAACTGATGAGGAGTACAAGGAGTACGCCACTGAAGATGGAAAAATAAAGGAGGTGGATTTTAGGAATCTATTTGGAGATTATGATTAATTGGAATATCAGTATTTTACAGCCCTATTCAGTAATTACTTTCTGGAAGCAATCATGTACGCAGAGTCGGTTTTAATTACTTTCGAGAGATTCAGCTGCTTTATTTGGATCCTTGAATGAAATTTTACCTAACCACGTTTTCCATTTTCTACTCACTGCTTTTGGAAAATCACGGTGTTTGTCTGGTAATTAGAAATACCGTTTGTGAAATGCTGGCAGAATGAAGATTTTTAGCTCCAGCACAGGTGGCTGACTAGCTCATCTTCAGTTTATTGGATGTTGAATATTTGTTGACACAGCCCAGCTGGGTTTGTATGAGCGGGAGCCTGAAAAACTCAATTGACAAAATAAAAGATCGTGAGAGGCTGTCCTTCTGAGGGGAACAGGTGAATCAGAGCATCTGGAACTCATCCCATTTATTATCGATGGCTTATTTTGAGGGGACGTATCTGAGGCACTCATTGTTTCGATAAGCAAAAAATGAGTTCGGCGTAACACTGTTTGGAGCCTTGGAACTGTGCCACCTCCAGACATTTTATGCACCTCATGAGTGCTTATTTCTGGCGAGGCTTTAGGCCGCACAGGCAGGCAGTGTTCCTTGCCAAGGTGTCAAAGTAGTTAAAGGTAGAGGTCATTAGACAAGCCAGCCATGCTATCTGATTCAATAAATGAAAACAAGGTTTCTTGGGTTCTAATTATGAAGGACATCCCTAGAGTCAGTGTTTAAATGTAAAACATTCTAAAGCATCTGGAGACTTGATTTGTTTTTAAGCAGCTTGTTAGGATAACAGTTGTGGGTGTAGGGAGTGTATTGTCTTACAATGAGACCTGACCTCCCAGACCATTATTTTGTAATTCAATAAGCTACAAGTGAGCTCAATTTTTGTGTTCCTTTTACTTGGATGCCAAGGCTTTTTTTCTCCTCCGTACTAATATGAGACAAACAAAAAAAATGTGTAACAATAATCTGAAATTGCCATTTGCGAGATATAGGAACGCTTTATCTATTTGCATAATTTTGTTAATATTTTTGTTAATATACTATTATAATATTTGTGAAGATTTTTATTGGCTCATTATTACCAATGTTCATTACAATTTTAGGTTACGTTTTAGTTTTGAAAAAAAATTCTGAATAGCTTTTATTTTGTTTTTTTTGTCATTTTTGAACTTCAGCATAGTTAATTGCCTTTTTTTTTTCATTTTTAAAGTTTTTCATTATATTTACTGCATATTATCAGTTTATTTAAATGAATGAAAACAACTTTAAAACTAACTATAACAACAAACACTTCATAAGCTGTAACATGACTATTTTACGCCTCTTTTTAATTAGCGATTCTTTTTAATTTTACAGCCTTTAATTTGTTTGTGTGTTAGCGGTTCAAAACTGACTCCCTCACTGAACGGTGAATCATTGTTCAATTAGTGTTGGGGATAGTTCATACCAGTGTTGTTGTACTCGAGACTCGGACTCGTCTCGGACTCGGTCTCGAGACCATATTTTAATGGTCTTGGTCTCGTCATGGACTCGTGTCCATTTGGACTCGGAATTGACTCGTACTCGAACATTTTTTTTTTTAGGACTCGAGAATTATTCCCGAGTCCACTCGAATTCAATTTAAAATATTTTTCATGATTATTAATGTATGTTAATAAAATATTTCTTTAAATTGATTGACACGCCCAGTGATTGGTGATTTTCTAGTGCGCAACTGCGCATGACAAATTGTAATAAAATTACTTTTAACACCACCTACTATGTGGCCTTTTTACCCTAAACTGATCATATTTTTTAAACTAAGTAAATTCAGTAAAAAAAAAAAAAAAAAAAAAAAAAGGATTTCTCTAAGTAAATAAAAGTAAATTAGGTAATCAACCCTCACTGGTCTCGGTCTCGACTAGGACTCGACCGTCTCTGGTCTCGGACTCGACTCGGACTCGACTCTCTATGGACTCGGTCTTGACTCGAACTCGACTCTCTCTGGTCTCGGTGTCGACTCGAGTGAGGTGGTCTCGACTACAACACTGGTTCATACAAAAAATAAAATTCTATTATCACTTACTCATCCTCAAGGTGTTCCAAGCATATATGAGTTTCTGGTAACACTTTACAATAAGGTTCGTTAGTTAACATTAGTTAACTACATTAGTTAATATGAACTAATAATGAATAGCACATATACAGCATTTGTTAATCTTTGTTAATGTTATTTTCAACATTTACTAATACTTGATTAAAATCTTGTTAACATTAATTAATGCACCGTGAACTAACATGAACAAATGATGAACAGCTGTATTTTCATGAACTAACATTAACACAGATGAACAAATGCCGTAACAAATGTATTGCTCATGGTTAGTGCATGTTAGTAAGTACATTAACTAATGTAAACTAATGAACCTTATTGTAAAGTGTTACCGAGTTTCTTTCTCCTGCTGAACACAAAAGAAGATATTTTAAAGAATGTTGGTAACCAGACAGTTGATGGGCACCGTTGACTTCCATAGTAGAAAAAAATACTGGTTACCGACAAAATATCATCTTTTGTGTTCAACAGAAGAAAGATATTCATACAGGTTTGGAACAACTTGATATTTTTTATTTTTGGTTAAACTGTCCCTTTGAGTTATTGTTCAGATTTGAAATGAACTGGCAACTATTACTTTTAAATACTTTTGTTGTATAAATTAACACAGTCTCATCCCAAGAAGTCATATAACTGATGTCTTGGGACGTCTTTTGACCATACGTCAACATCCGCCTTTTTAGGGTACCCTTAAACGTCGGTAATATGACGATCCCGGGCCGTCATACAACTGACGCTTTACCTTTAATGTCGGTTAGGTGACGGGTTAGGTTTAGGGGTAGGTTTAGGTCTGGGGTAGAGTTAGGGTCCGATAACATCATCTGACCGACGTTTAAGGGTACCCTAAAAAGGCGGATGTTGATGTATGGTCAAAAGACGTCCCAACTTAAGACGTCAGTTATATGACGTCTTGGGATGAGACTGTGCTGTATAAATGAATAATAGTGTTCTAAATTTTACAAAATATATATATAACGGCTGCAATGCATTCTCACCCCAAGACGTTACCTTTTGACCATGCTTCAATATTTGACGCTTTAGGCGCCCTTTAGCGTCAGTTACATGACGCGATCCTACGGCGTCAGTAAAGCGTCAGTTAGATGACACGGGTAGGTTTAGGTCTGGGGTGGGGTACATGCGATCCTAGGGCGTCATCTAACTGACGCTAAAGGGCTCCTAAAGCGTCAGATATTGAAGCATGGTCAACATGCTTCTCAAGGCATCAGGTAGGCGACGCCTTGGGGGTGAGAATGGGCTGATATAACTGGATACAAACTTAGTTTAGCTGACATTTTGGATCAAACAGGCAGATATTTTCTTAGAAAACATGATAAATGACACAAATGAACCAAACATTTTTTATGGATTTTTAAGGATCACAAGAGCAGCATCACAATTTTGAGTTCTTACCTTTGAATTGCATTTGTAGATAGGATGTGTGATGGTCTCAACAAAATGATGTCTCATACACCTGTCAGGATCATTGTCCCCTAAGTGTCCACTCTCTGCCTTACAGGTGACACCCTGCAGGATAGTCAGCAAAGGACATGTGACCAGAAGAAGTAGAATCCCAGGCTGGCCCAGCGCGACCGAGTTCCTCATATTGTCCACAGCTTCCAAAGATAAAACAAAAGAAAGCTTGACCGTCTCCTACAGAAGACAACGAAGAGATCTCCACTGTGTTTTTGATGCCACATAAGTGAACCGAAACATGTAGTGAGCGGTGTCTCTAAACTCAACCATCTCCTTGAGTGGCCTGGATGTATCTGTGGGTATAAAGAAAGGAACCACGGTTAGTCCGGGATGCAAGCTTCAGGAAAAAAAAAAAAGAAAACACCCATCTGAGGGCGAGATTTCAGGTAATGTTTCGCATGTTATGCCCAGTTTGCGGAGCTGTTTAAGTTGTTAGTGGAGGGACTGGGCAGGTGAGGTAAGGTGCAACGTAAGGGAGAGTGGGAGTTTGTCTTCGTGAGAACCCGTCAGTGACAGATGACCCGAGACAGACGTCTGTTGTGCCTCTGCCAGCTGGTTAAGGTGATTGCTGCCATGTCTCCAGCCAGAAATAAGTGGGCTGTGATGTATGAGGAGTTCTGGCAGACCGCTGTACTGTTATTCTTACAATCCCAACACTGAAAAAACATGGTGTTTTTATTACACAGTGTAGAAACCTAATATATTAATAAACAGCCTGGAGCAAATTTCCCCAGAAATGAATTTTTCATAAAAAGAAATAAGTCTCGGTGCAAGTTCTCTCATGACAGTAAAACAATTGCCAACTAAGGTACACATATACTTATTTTTTCATGAGCTTAGTGCTTTACAGTCCTCATGACAATGTTTCGTGTGTGGCAAGTAAAAATCCGCTGAGCCACGACTGCTAAAATGTTTGGTGTAATGAGGGAGAGAAAGAGTAGCAGAGCCCTTGGGGTAACCGACTCCACAAACCTGGATCAGACAGAAAGGAAATTATCATTCACTAAAACAATACCTTGCATTAAGTCTAAACCTCTTTCAAATTTTATTTCGAAACCCGCAATTGCTCCGAAATCGCAAACAAATCAGGCTAATTTAAAACTTTCTCCTTGTGTTTTTCTTACCGGAGCGACTCATTTAACTTTAGCATTCCTCGTGTAAGGATTTTAGGTATCAATTTGCCTGTTTAAATAAATACTCCCTGAAATGTTTAACTGCACCGGAGAGCATGTGTTGCAGGGTTTACACAAGCACACATCACAGTCTGTTCTAAACTCGGATGCTTCGGATACAGGACTTCGTCATTTATTTAATTTCGGGCATACCAGCTGCCATCTTCATCATCATCATCATCGTGCCCAGGCACGACTGTTGACATTCAAACCTGGTTGAGAGCGTCTGCCGTACTGATCTGTAGTGACTGTAATGGGCCTTAACAATGCAGTGTAGACACCCCAGCTCAAAAGATAACTACAGATCCAATTTAGTTCATAAACAGTGAGATGGTGACCTCATGGCGTAACCATCCATGGCAGCTTCATCGTTTGTAGGCTTCTAGCGCATTGAGGGTGTATTTGCAGGTGTTTTTTCCCTTATTTTTTTAAGGTATAATGTTGACCACCACAGCGTCCACACCTGCTTCGGCCTGTAGATTTATAAAGCCCAGTGTGTCTACAAACAGCAGAAGGACTTACAATCTCCTCCGAGACAACATCCACCACATCTGTCCACCTCCGACCAGAAGAATTATTTCCCTCTCTGGCTTCGTATCTCATTTTTTAATTTGTAAACTGAAATTTTTGAGTTTATAGACTAGGAAAATTAGCTTTGACATGCTGGAATCTGACCTTCCAACTATCTGATACAAGCTGTACTTGAATGTTTCCTTTAATTCGATTTTTCTTTTTGTCAGAGACAAGAATTTGTTTTGCTCAGCAAAGATATTTTTTTGGAGGTGTCTAAACTTAAGTGTCTAACCCACATTGTTTTCCCGCCACAGTATGGTTCATTGTAAAACAGCTAAAAATGAAAGTTCCCTTCTGGGAAGTCAGTTCACTTAGTGGCCATATTTGCAATTAACTTTTCCAGGCAACTATTTCAAGCATGCAAGACCAACCTCTGTCTATTTAAACTGGGAAATACCAAAATCTAAAAAAAAAACAACATTTTTTCAATCATCACAAAATGATGTTATGTTTTTTGTTATGCTAAAATTACTTTAAATTGGCATATATTTCAGATTGGTCCAGGTAATGCATGTGCAGTCCTAAGCATGAGTATCAGGACACTGTTGGTGATTGGCTCTTTATTTCGAAGACGGTACTTTTTTCAACATATTTTGCATTGCAGTTTCTTCCATGCAGAGTGAACCATATTGGTATATATACTTTTTTTTGCATTTACTCGCCCTCATGTCATCCAAACTGATGGTTTTCTTTATTCTGTGGAACACAAAAGACGATTTTGAAGAAAGGAAAAAAAGTGTTTTTGTAGATTCAGTGTTGCTTTTTTGTTTGGATAAAAACAGTTGAAATCTTCTTCAAAATATCTTTTGCAGAGGAGAGTAATTGGAATGACATGAGGGTGAGTAAATGATTCGGGGTGAACTATCCCTTAATACTTCCAAGTTGCAAGACACAAAACAGGGTATTTGTCATTTTCACTAACTGCCAAAAATTATCCCACAGGAACAAAAATGAGAAACAAATTTAAGAGGAAAGCAAGAGCCAGGACCAGGTGAGACATGACATAACCCCGTTGCACTGAACTCTCAGACCCAGACTGCTCGCCTAGGGACTTTGTCCTAACCGGGAGTCCCATCAGCGGCTATAACGCCACTTAGGGAGCAGACCCCTGGAATGAACTGTCCCTAGGCATGGCACTGGTGGTTGTGGAAATAGAGTATGGATCTTTTGATCATTGCTGATCCTCTCGGGCCATGGCAAGGCTAGAGAGGGGCCACGCCGTCTGCACTATTAGGACTGTGAAATTCCTGACATTCAAAAGCAGCCACAGGTTAGGGGCCGTATGGTAGGAGCTGTTGCACACTGTTCAGTGTTGCTTCTCACCGTCTCATGGTGTTTATTTTATTTAGAGAGTATAAAATGCCATGGGAACACCATGGGATTTTCTTTTCAGTGCATCTTCACATGGTGGTTGTTCTTTGCAGATACTGAAAGAACTCGGGGGATCATGGGTAGGATCTTGATAGCTCTATGTCTCCTGTTCTAAACCTTGCTGCTTTTTCTGCTTAAGATGAAGCACAGACTGTCATTTTAAGGGCTTGGATTATGTGGATTGAGACAATTGAATCCACGTTATTAGTTATAGCTTCCTCAACATTATTGTGTAGAAACAGGCTTATCTGAAGTTAGAGCTCAATTTCTTAGGTAATCCATGTCAAAGTCGTATAATGCTTTCAAACCAAACTATGCTGAGAAATTAATTGTATTTTAAGAACATTTATTAACGATTAAGCAATAATAATTTTGATTTTGTACAACAGTTCAATAAACAAAATGTTAATGTTGAGTATATCTTACTTTAGATACAATGGGCTATATGCACGCATAAGTTCCGCATTTGATGCAAGGATGCTCGTCCATTTCCTGTCTTTGAAACGAAACGTACATACGTTGAGATGTAATTTTATATATAGTTATGTTTATTTAATATAATTTTAAAAAGAAGCATAAACACAACGAGGGGTGTCTGTTTTATCTGTTTTTGTGACTAACGTTTCTTTAGTATAACCATGGAGTATAAAATTCAATATAAATTCTCGGTATTGCATTGGACTCTACGATCGGCGGAAGTTATCGAGCATCCTTAATGCTTCACCGGAAATAACGCCGTGCATAGAGCCCATAGTGGATATTAGTTTGTCTATTTTTGCGCAGTCAACAAAAATAGCTCCTAGTCAACGTAGAATTGTGTCTCAGAGCATGTAGACACATTCCTGACTGAATCAGTGTTTTTAAACAAATTGTTTGATTCAGTGATTCACTGAATCATTTGTAAAGTCATTAGCTGGGTCTGAAATATGCTGGATCCTCAAACTTGCTTTGTATACAGTCGGAATGAAATCCGAATGTGCTACTTCTGCAATGTTGTCTTTTTTAATGTGATTTGTCACATGAACTGTCAGTTGCCTGGCTTAACTGCCATTCACAATTAGTAAAGTGTCCGTCAGATGCGAACTTCAGAATCTCGCCGGAAGTAGTAGGTCATCCGGGTACTTTCAGTCGGTACAATAAATGACTCCTGTCACCACTTAATGGTGTAACGATGTAGAAAATTGTAGAAGGAGTCACTGAAAAATCCCGACCACTTAACTGTTGTATAATTATAATTAAGTATATTTGTTGGTTATACTAGAAAAATGAGGTAAATCATTTCATGTTCCCTGTGAATCACTCAGATTTCATTCCATAGCTGGAGTACTTTAACAAGGATAATCAAACTTCAGAAGGGTCTGACGGCAGCTGAGTCCACAGTTGTTGCGTGAGGCGTGTGGTCGCCTAGTATTTGCCAATAAGCAGAATTGTCTTCTCAGTCACATTGACATGCCCAAACCCCCCTCCTCCGGCGAAGGGGTTACGTCACTGTTTTCTGCTTGTTTAGCACCCTATTGTTTGACCGGCTTTTAATAAACCAAAGGGCAGATTCCTGCAGGGATCACCCCGCAGTCCTCCTCCCATGCCCATCTGCAACACAAGCAGCATGCCAGGCACTGCCACTACACGCAGACGCCAGTAACCCGCGTCTCCAGAGCTAAACCCCACGCTAAATATATCCCCTGTGATAAAGATAAGACAAACACAATGGATTTGAAGGTAGTTTGATGCCAATAGCCGAGCACCATGTGAGCCATCGCTAAACTAATGTTAGCTTTACATTAGGCTTCTCAGAAAAGCGCCGGTCTGATTGGAATGCTAAAAGATGAAAGGGTCTGCGCATAGCAAAGCAGTGGTGGGGTTTCCAGTTAAATTAATTAGAGACCCTGATATGCTGTCCTGTTAACCTTCCCGCTTTAATGTGATGTGCAAATTGACGGCTGTCGTCATCTTCTAAAAAAACCTCAGGCTTTAATACTTGATTAAGTCGTCAGATGACCATTACGTATTGATTATGAAGGAGTTGCAATGCGCACATAAGACTGGTTGACATTGCCAGCTTTTACATCTAACATCTGGGGGGAAGTGTGTCTAGCTCACCTCTTCCTCGAGCTCCTTAAACAATCCTCAGAATATCTATTATTTCTCATTTGGTGCGCTCGGCTAACGACCTCTGGCTTATCTGCTTGTATTGTACAGACAGGGACTAAAATCTCAATACAACGCTGATGACTTACCTAAGCAACCAATTATGTGATACATAGCCTTCTTACTTCGGCTATGAGTCACACTGAAAAAAAATCACTACGTATCTGATCAAATCGAATTAATATGCACCGTCACTCTGAACTCAGGTAAAAACTGGACTCTTGCATTGATGTAGTTCGATGACCATATTTTGCTTGTCAATTCTGGCTAACAATGCATTATATTTAAGAGTAAAAAATCACACACACACACACACACATACATATATTTATATATAGTATATTTACATAATGTATGCACTGATGAAACATGACAAACAGTAAAGCACTAATGTACACTGATAACCTTGCCACCAGTAAAAAGTAACTCTGATGACCCGGTCACCTTTCCAGCGCTGGTGGTCTTACCTTCTGCCTGGTGCTGCTTAACCTGCAATATCCAATCCCAGCTGGCTCCTCTAGGACAGAAATGAAATTTCTTAAGCAACAATTGCCTTTAGATCTCTCCCTCTCTCTCATCCACTTGCTCTCTCCCCTCTCTCTGTTTCTCTTTTACTCTCTCTCACGCATGCCGATTGTGTGTGAGCTCTGATTCCTTCCCCTCCCTCTCAGCTCCCCTCCCCTCCGCTTCGACATTCACACCCCCTCTTTTATTGAGGAATCACATGGAAAAGGGAAAAGGATGGATGATGTACATCTTGGGATGGTTGTCAGATGTGGAACGTGACACAGCAGTCGTATATCACCTTAGGGACACACACATACTCGCCCCCAGCTGCCACACCAACAAGCAAATGGGGATTCCAGCGAAATCAGAGGAATGACCAAAAGTCTGGCCCTCTTTTACGAGGTCCAGGTTATAAAACTGTTAGCGGAGTTAGTTTACTTAAAAACAATTGGTCTTCTGGGTTTCTTGCTGTCTTTCGGGAGACTTGGGAGGTGTAACTCAATTCAGCTGGAAGCTATTTTGAAGTATGTATGCAGTTATATGATGTAGGAAAATGAAAAAAAAATAATTCTCTACCTCGAGAACAGCTACAAAAGGGGGGTTAACGATTGTTGTATTAAATTCACATCTTTATACACTAGCATGAGTCTTGAAATTCGTACAAAATGCGCATTCAAATGCTTGGAATATAAAATAAAAAACAGATGTGCAATTAAGAGTTTCCAACGAACGCATAATTACTATTTCACATCTCCGACATGGAGAGAATCCAGCAAACATTTCTGTTTTTCTCAAATTTTGTCGTCCCGTGGCCAAAAAATGTACTTTAAAGATTGTGGTGGAGGAGGCAGTTGAAATTAAATCACCGCAAATATTGGCACTAGAGGGAGAAAAAAAAATGAGATATGGACTTCATCTGAAAAGGAACTGAGGGTTTGTGGCTTGACTTTATCTGATTGTAAGATCTTACCAACTTTATCCAATAGTTTCCATGATGCTAAGTTTGAGAAAGAAAAAAAAACTATTTAAAAAGGACTCAGTTCGAAGCTTCTCGGGTACATAGACATGAAAAGGTCAAAACAAACTAACTAAAACAGGAAATAGTGACTAACATACAGTTTTACGAAAGGAAAATGTGATAAAATCACAACCATCACGCAAGGTTGGAAAGCTCAGGAGGCCAAAAGTTGACAACATAAATTACCTGCAAGTCTTGGTGTGACCTCACAAATGTTCTCACCTTCTATCCGTCGACCCCTTGACATCACCATCATTAACAACCAGCAACTCCTGTTCACACACTGCAAATCTGAATTGAAGTTGATTAGCGCAATGCTAATCCAAAGTGGGCTGATCATGACAACAGGGTTGGGTTACATAGCCACTAGCTGGGTATTTTAGTGAGGCGCACATATGCATAGAGTAAAAATAAATCGTTTCTATGACTGCGAGACAAAAGAATACTGGCGTTGACCTGGTATGTCAGTGAGAGCAAAATAGCATTAGCAGAGATTTCCTCCAAAAGCTTCCCGTCCTGGAAATGAGCCCTTCTGCATGTCTGTCCATCATATTTTTATTGGATCTAGGAGCATCTGTAGTCTTTCAACACTCAACTATTATTCAACTTCCGTTTTTCTATTTGATGTGGCACACGTATCATATCGAGCGATTACTGTCTGCATGTGTCCATTCAGTTATGTCCATCTACACGTCAAACGACATTGTGTTTGCCGCAAGAAACTGATTTCATCAAGTATATGTCCCTGGAAAAACATCTTTGTGGATCCTGGAACAACATCAATTAACCAGATTTGAAGGACAAGTTTACAGTTTGTGTCAAGTTTAGGCTAACAACATGGGTTAGGTGCTTCTATCAGATTCACCTATCATTTCCCTCTGATTTTATGGATAACTTATGGGTAGGGTTAAGTTTAGGGGTAGGGACTAAATTTTTGGACAGGAATATTGTTCCAGCCAGGGTTAACAAAATATGCTGACCCAGGAGTGCATCTAACTCCGCAAAATCCAGACATGTGTGTTTGCCTGCCTTGATGTCGTCTTACATGACAGTAGCCATTTATCCATGGCTTTCATCCACAGATTCATATCGGTCTCCCCAACTAATGAAATTGTTTTTTTTTTCTTTTACCCACAACAGACAGACTGAGGGTTGCAAAGCTTGTCAAGTGAAGGACACAATTTGAGCCCAAGTTTTCAAGATCAGGATTTGATCATGAAGTCTCATTTCAAACTACATGACTAAAAGGTCTCATATTTTGGGTGATTTATTTTGAAACAATGCATGCTGTCAGACCGTCTTCCAGAAATGAGCTCCTTTGGGAATGCTGACCTGGATGAAAATAGTCCATAGTCCTAATTTACGGCCAGTGTAGAAAAACTTGTCTTCCTCTATAGCTGTTTAAAATAATAGTTGCCAAAGACAACTGTGCAACGATCACTGCACCAGGTCTGGCGGGGACAAACACATACCTAGTAAAATAAGTAGGCTACTTTGCAAAAACAAAACAGGGAAATGCATTTAGAATTCAAGCATGATTAGGATTTCTGTATGAATTAGTAGTCCATAATGTCAGTGGAGGAAAAATAGAGCATCTAAAGGCAAAACAGAGGAGAATGTAACTGGTTCCCTATGTGTACCTGAGGCAGAGACTGGCCTACAAAAAAAGACTTAATTCTGCCTGTTTACTATCCCTGTGCCAATTCCTGTAGGCATTGTCAAGTCAATGTAGCTGGGAAAAGGACAAGGCAAAATGACCGTGCACTAATTTCCTGAAGCTTTTTTTTTATATATATAAAATGAAAACTTTTCAACTAAAAATTAGAAGGGCAATCTCATTTAATTGTGTTGTCTTGGGAAGTTGCTTTAAGTCATATGTTCTCTTAGATTACACAAATATTTTTAATAAAAAAAAAGCACTCCGCATACCCGGTTAAAAGTAGTCACCGCTCGCCACAGATCAGATGCTATAAAATAAGTAATTTTGTATTGAGACGGGTCACATGGGTGTCGTTTTTACGAGATAATTACAATTTTAGGTTCTCTTGTTTACTGTGAACCAAAATGAGTCATCTGTTAAAGTTGTTGTGCATTTCTTTATTAATAATGTTAAAAGGATTTTAATATGAAATGGCAAGACTGGTAATTTACAGCCCGTTCTCATCCCAAGGCGTCATATAGGTGACGCTTTTGACATTTTGTCTACATCCAATGCACATGGCTCCCTTTAGCGTCAATATGAGACGCAGATATATATGGGCCAGAAGGCACCTCCTAGTGGTCTAACCCTAACACTACCCCAGACCTAAACCTACTGTGTGTGTTATATTGACGCTTAAGGGTGTCATGTGCGTTGGATTTAGACGAAATTTCAAAAGTGTCACTATATGACGCCCTAGGGTGATAATGCGTTGTAATTTAAGACTACGACAAAATCTGGATGAATTTTAGTTTTTTTGGAACTTGGAAGTATGTGAAAGTTTGTTTTTAAAGCTGAAGTTTAATTTGTGGATCCCTTACCTAATGCTATATGACTGATATCAGACAGGTTTCTCTAAACACTCCCCCCCCAAAAAAAAACCTATGCCATTGGCTGAGGTGCAGTTGCTGTGTTTGGGTGCTCAAACAAAAACAGAAATGTATTTATGACACCACAAAGCCACAATGTGTTTTGACCCTTTTTTGGAGAAAAGAGCCAACAAATGGCGTGCTTATTGTTGTCTCTTCGTATTGATTTCACTCAGATATAAGAATTTTAACACAAGAACAACCTCTGTAATGATCCATGATTTGGAGGCAGTTAAATCTGGGTTCAGATCTGTCTCTTCAGTTTAAGTTATTTTGGATAAGAAACTGTTTGCTAATGAATTAATAACCAAAGCAATATGACTGGCTTACTATAATACAATGATTAGAATGTTTAGCGACCACCAATAGACCTTTTAAAAATTAATTGGCGATCTTTTGCACCAGATATTTTATTACATTTTCCTGTGCAGAAACTTAAGGAGACTCGACAAGAGCCTGGATAAACATCAGTTAAACAAGAGCCAGGAAACATTAAAACAGCGAACACACGATTGGTTAAAGCTCCGAAAGGCTGTAAATATAAACCCTGTTGCGGATGATCTATAAGTTCTAACTATGATATGAAGCATGACACTTTTGGGTGAATTGTCCCTCTAAATGTTGCCCTATACGGCAACATAAGAAATGACTTCTAAAGTGTGGTCACATTTACAGTACCAATGCTCGTGGGTGAAATTCAGTCATTTCTAGAGGAATCCAATAGTTCGGGACTCGGGAGTTTCACACGCAGAATTTCCAAGTTCCTGAATACGTTTTTGACAAAAACTCTTTATATTGATATTCGGGAAGGAAATTCTGACAGTAATCATCTTATAAGCAGAGGATTTTTTTCATATTGTTAATACAATATCCTTATGTCACGCTTTTGTGATTTCACCTGCGCAATGACATAAATGTTTTGATGCTACAGACATACATGAAATCAACCACAATTATAACATTAAGGGAATATTTTACAACTGACATTAATATCTTGGGCGATAAAATAATTTTTGTCTTAAAGGATTAGTTCACTTTTGAAAAAACTTTTGCTGATAATTTACTCACCCCCATGTCATCCAAGATGTCCATGTCTTTCTTTCCTCAGTCGAAAAGAAATTAAGGTTTTTGATGAAAACATTCCAGGATTTTTCTCCTTATAATGGACTTCCATGGGAACCAGGTCCAACCGAGGTCCAAACGACAGTTAATAACAGTTTCAGATGCAGCTTCAAATGTTTTTAAACGACACCAGAAGATGAATTATCATGTGAAACGATCGGTTATTTCAAAGCTTATTCCAAAAATGTAACTTTTCTAAGGACAAATGCTAGCCTTGTAATATACTGTGAGGCACGTTTGCAACGTCACGTAATACGTAATTACGTTCAAAAGATCACGGGCGACGTAGCCGGAAGTAGAGAATCAAAATCGTCCGACATCGTTGTTTTACCTTTTAATTCCTTTTTTGTAAACGGCGTTTGAGTTAGCTTTCACGTTCAACCTATGCATTCAACTTGTAAACACCTCGGTTGTTCTCTGACTCTGTACTTCTGGCTACGTCGCCCGTGACCATTTGAACGTAATTACGTATTACGTGACGTTGCAAACGCGCCTCACAGAATAGAGCAAGGCTAGCATTTGTCCTTAGAAAAGTTACATTTTTGGAATAAGTTTTGAAATAACCGATCGTTTCGCATGATAAGACCCTTATTCATCGTCTGATATCGTTTAAAGACATTTGAAGCTGCATCTGAAACTGTTATTAACTGTCGTTTGGACCTCGGTTGGACCTGGTTCCCATGGAAGTCCATTATAAGGAGAAAAATCCTGGAATGTTTTCATCAAAAACCTCAATTTCTTTTCGACTGAGGAAAGAAAGACATGGACATCTTGGATGACATGGGGGTGAGTAAATTATCAGCAAAAGTTTTTTCAAAAGTGAACTAATCCTTTAATGCGTAGGCCTATAGTTATTTTAGTTGAGTAGGCCTACCTTGTGCATGCTTAAATATGATCTACATTTATTTAGGTACCAAGACCTGGCAATTTAGTTTTTACCTGTGACACATTAACATTAAAAATACAATGTGGTCACATGATTTTTGACTACTTCAGAATGTGGTTTGAGTGATCAGATCCCAAAACAATTTGAAGCCAGTTTTATACCTGTATCTAATGCTGACCACAGAAATGGATGTTAATACCAGATGTAACCAGGGTCATTGTTGCATTCTAGGATGTCAAAGTGTGGCCTCATTGACTGGAGCCAGGCTAAATATGTCCTAGATGCGTCAGCCTTTGTGTTTCAGACAGAAGCCTGCTAACTCATGAGGTTAATATTTTAGTAAGTGTGAAGGCTAGGAATGAAGGCTTGATAATACCGGTGTGATGTAATGCACTTCTTCTGTCTTGGCCGGCAACTGAGGCCTTGAACACAAAAGCTCTGATTACAAACACGCTCAACCTGTCTTTTTATATACATTATCAGCATTTATCAATTGCATAATGTGCCAGATCAGAGTGTGAACAGCCAATGCAGGTTAGAAAATGAGGATGTTTTTACCACGGACAAAACTCTTGCTTTACTTGAACTAAATCATGAAAAGGCCTTTGGGAAATATGAATTTGGGTACTCTAATGGGCAGTTGTTTTCTCTCATGGCCATGGCACGTTGTCGTATTACAGTATATTGACATCTTTATCCACGCAATCACGGCAAATGTGCATGTCTGTCTGCCTGCATATGAAATATGGTTTGATTTAGCGGCTCATATTTTTAACTGCTCCACGCTTGGTCCCCAGGCACTTCCAAACAGCTCTCTCATTTCAGCATGTTTTTGATTTTAAGTCGAATAAAAAATACACATAAACGGTATTATGACATTCATGCAGCACAACAGAAACAACAATGTGCAGCAAATGTGAGTTTAATCAGAGCAATACACAGCGCTTTTTGACTTTTCTCACGTTATCTCGGATCCCATCACGCCGTTCTCAGCTGTCATTAATGTTCGTGGCGCTGCCAAAGACATCCTCCAGCAAGAGTGAGTAGTTGATGGTTTTAACTGCAGGGTCTGCAGATTCTTGCCTCCAGTCTGCGTCAAACTAAAAACAACAGCAAGACAGGGTTTCAGAAACAGTTTGCAGAGTTTCCTGGAGCACATGTTTAGCTGGCACTCTCATTTTCATGTCTCTGCAAATTAAGGCGCACCGAGAGATAGATTTATCAGGCCGGATTGACTTTAGCACATGGTAAATGTCTTGTACTTGCTATTTAAAAATGTATGACAAATGCTTAACGACTTTGTGTGCTTCAGTAAATCAGACCCGCAAACGTCTTTTAAAAAGAATTGCTGCAGATAAGATTTTTATTGCTCAATATGTTAAGATGACCAGATATCTGAAATGAAAACCGGGAACATTTCTCGTTCAGCAGTCTATATATCATTGAAATATCCAATGTAATTACCAATGAATTAAAAAAAGGGGGACAGTTTTGTGTTTTGACCATGGTAAATGTAGTACTGTGATAAACTATCATACTCTTGACATATAAATGTGTGTATTCATCAACACACACTTATGAACTATGATAACTGTTTAAAATAACGCGCAACACCCTCAATCTTCTCAATTTACTAAACGAAAAAGGAGGTAAAACTAAACAAAGAAACTTACTAAAATTAAAATGAAAACTGAAAAGCTACAGCTAATTAAAATGATAAATATAAAAACTGTAATGGTAAATTAATAGTATTAAAATAACACTGGATATCAGTGCATTTGATATATTATCTTTTAAACAAGTATGTGCATTAAGCACTAAAATACTTATATAGTAATATGTCTTATGCACAGAAACATGGCTCTATTCACTAAACCAATTAGACAGATCAATCCGTCCTTACAGTTTCAATGTTGTCTCGAAGGCGCGTATTCTTCTTTTTTGAAGAATATGTTCATGAAACATCACTGAACAAACTTCTTTTGCATTATTTTCCTGTAAAGCTGCTTTGAAACAATCTGTATTGTAAAAAGCGCTATATAAATAAATGTGACTTGACTTTTTTTATTCTAAGAAGTGTTTGATAAATGCCAGGTAATTCGCCATTGTGATGGCTGCTAATTTAGGCTACAGGAAATGTCTGGAAAATGGAAAATTTAACAGTCAAAAAAGAGAAATGAGCAAAGAAAAAAAAAGAAAGAAAGAAAAGCAGACTCGCACAGTCTGTCTTGCTTCTCATAGATTCATCTTCGTATCGCTATATGCTTCTGCAAGCCCTGATTAATAGAAAAGACAGCAGAGAGAAACTAGAGATGAATCGACTGCTAACTCCCTCTGCTGGTCAGTTGAGACCCTGTAGAACTGGAAGACTTCTCATTGTGAGTCAGTGAGCAGATGGTTCTGCTTAGGCTCCAAGCAGGCATGCTAAATTACTGCGCTGTAATAAAAGCTCCACTTCAGAGTAGTTGTTGAGTGGGTTTTTCCCAAGGCTGATTTACTTGAGATGAGGCTTGGAGGTGCTCAAAGCTTGTGAGGCCCACAGGTTACCAGTTCCTGGACCACTCTCATGTGGATGTGCCGGCTTTAGCAAATGATAAAAAGCATGTTGTTTCAAAGTATGTGTTTGGTGACAACAAATTGACTATTTTTCTCGATAGTCATCATTGCATCCAGACCATGTTCAAACTCACCTTCACGGTGACATCTGGAAGCACAGCAGGGGCGGGGTTTTCTCTCCAGTTGATACCCGATAGGAAGGCGTGATAGTCGATCTTCTCAGACTCGTCTTGAAACCTAGATTGGAGATGCAGGAAATATGGATGCGTTGCGTTGAAATGTTTCATGGATAATAAATGGGAGTTTTGCTCTGTTGACCCTACTTCTCGAGAAGGGCTCGCAGTAGGTCATCAGAGAGGGGCAGTCGAAAGGCTTTACAGATGATCCGTGCTTCTTTAGAAGAGAGGTATCCAGATCTTCAGCACAATTTGTGGACAGAAATGAGACAAAAAAATTAATGAGCAATTTTTTTCAGCACATTATTTAATAAATATAACTATACACTTTTGAAAAAAAGGTACAAAAGCCGTCCCCAGGGCTGTACCTTTTCAAAAGGGAAAACTTTTGTCCATTTTAGGTACTAATATGTATATTTTAGGTGCTAATATGGACATTTAGGTGCTAATATGTACATTGTAGGTACTATTATGTACATTGTAGGTGCTAATATGGACATTTAGGAGCTAATATGTACATTTTAGGAGCTAATATGTACATTTCGGGTGCTAATATGGACATTTTAGGTGCTAATATGGACATTTTAGGTGCTATATGTACATTTTAGGTGCTAATATGGACATTTAGGTGCTATTATGTATACATTTTAGGTGCTATTATGTACATTTTTACCAATATGCACCCTTTAGGTACTTTTGGAAAGGTACAGCCCCAGTGACAGCTTTTGTACCTTTTTCTCTGAGAGTGTATACGTATATACACACTCATAGGTTTGGGGTTTTCAAAGATCAAAGATTTTTAATGTTTTTGAAAAACATATTTTATTTTTTTAAGGTTGCATATATTTGATTTGAAAAAATACAGTAATATTGTGAAATATTTATTGTAATGTATTATCAAATTTTCAGCATCATTACTTCAGTATTCAATGTCACATGGTCCTTCAGAAATCATTCTAATATGCTGATTTGGAGCATAATAAATATTTATTTTTATTATCAATGTTGAAAATAGTTGTGCTGCTGAACTTTTTTGTGGGAACAGTAATAATTTTTTTGGATGAATATAGAAGGTTCAAAATAACAACATTACAAACTTTTGAATGGTACATATTATAAGAGAGTTATCTATTATAAAATTATAGAGTCTTCTTATCGAGTTCATGACAGACAGCTGCAGACGTTCTAGGTTCAATTATTTTCAGAACATTTTGAACATCTTAAAATAACTAAACTTTCCACAGGGTGACATAAACAGGACAAGCACGTTGACCTGCCAGCATTCTTCCTCATCAATTTCCCCTGCCTGCAACATGCCACAGGTCTTCATCTGTTTCCAATGCTTCACTTGAACCGCTGGAACTAATCGCACCCCCTCAATCGAAAGCAGATTCATGGTTATTCTACCTCACTGTGATTGTTAGTGGTCCACATCAGTGCCTGCATGAGAGTGTGTGTCCTTAAAGAACGGTTTTGTGGTTGTGCATGAATGCATGTTTATGTCAATGTTGATTTTGTATTTAAATGCATCGTAAATAATTAGGATAGACTAAATAAATATACTTAAATGTATTTTAAATACATTTATTTTATGCTAAGTAAACTACAAATTTACATATTTATGTACTTAATATAAATACCCTGCAATTGTTCTTTTAGTATACTAACTTGGTATATTTAAAGGAGAACTCTGGTCAATTTTAACATTGAGCTTAATTTTTGTAAATTTGAAGTGCAGTCAGTACAGAGACTGTCGTTTTCCCTTTAGCACAAACAAGTATATTAGATACAACTTTAGTTGAACTTTAGCACTACTTTTGTACAACTAAAATGCATTTAGTACAAAATTAGTTGTTCCAATTCATAGTGTGGCATAAATGCATTTAGTTATTCTTGATAAATTGTGCTTAAGCATACTATTTTTTCACTAGGGTATTTTGAGGTCATTACTAGTAAATTTTCATTCAAATTGTTATGCAAGTAATATGACTTGTGAATATTTCTAAAGATTTTTTATTTTAAATTTTAAAAATATAAAATAGAAGTAGTGGCCTCAGTATTCTCCTTTGAATTCTTTCCTCAAAAGAAAAACTGATTGCACACAAAAAACAAACATAAGTGCAGAAAAATCTAAATTTAACGCTATCCCTATAATAAATCATAAGAATACTGTATTTAAAATATCTGTCTTTGACAGCCCTATTTGCACAATTACTTACTGTACATTATGGTTAAATTGAGATTTGGCAGGTGGGGGAACCCTCAAATGTTTTGTAGGTGCAACAGGGAAAAATGACTCACCGTGGGACAACATTTTGAGTATCGTGGTATAGGAACACTTTTTGGGTCAAGAGTGTCACTGTGGCACCAACTATTACTTATTTACTTGATATATTTAATGTTTTTATTTTGGCCCATCTACACTGATATGATGATGATACTATGTTAAAATTGCTCAATAATGGGCCAAAAATAGAGCCCTGGCACTGTAGCCATGCCAGCCCACATTATCATCTCCAGCCCCACCTACATACATGTGCATTAAAATGTGAGGTATTTAGGGGGGTTGGGGGGCATGGTCCCTTGAGAAAATGTTGAGTTCTCTGACCAACATATGTACAATTTAAGACTCTTTCAGGCCAAAAAATAAAAATAAAAAAGTATAATAAATAGCTTTAAAACCATATCAGTAGGTATTAGATTATTTTGTCAATACTTGCTCTCTCCTCATCTACATCTTTCTTTTTCTCTCAGTCTCCTTATCCTGCCCTATTTCTTCCTAAAGCTGAACTTTGACTGATAGTCTTTCATTTTCGTGTCAGTGAAAAAAGTAAACATAGGCTTAACTTATTTTTATATGTTTTAAGAATCATTTTCTTAAACAATTTAATTTACTCAAGGCTACCAGGTCAGTACTTGCCACCTTCTACAAGCTTTGGAATTTGAAAATTAATTTCAAATAATACACAATAGGCTATACGTTTAACACAGTTGGTGGAATTGGCAGACGTCCCCTCATCATGCTGTGCAAACGCGTCAAAGCGTTCTCAGGTATAAATATGCAGCATGAGTGCACGTAGGTGATTTTGAATAAATATTTAATGTCAATATATACAATGGGTACATAATGTTAAAACTAATCCTGCTATTGATCTCTTTATAATACCCAATAGAACAGTGGCAAGGTAAAACAAATGTCAGGCGAAATATATCGAACCTAAAACTAACTTTACTGCATTCAACCACCATGAGGGCATTTTACGTGAGTGCAATATCTATCAGAGGTGACGGCCCACTTTAACCCCTATATATAAATATATATATATATACAGTATATTCATAGCGTCATTGCCAATAACAGCCACCACTGTAGCACCTGTTTTAAAACTACTTGCTTGACTTGCTTGAAGAAAAAAGAAAGAAAGAAAACTTCCAAAAAAGAAATGGCTGAAAAGTGCAGACGTTCCTCTCGTTGATTGCCGACAGTGGTGGAATCTAACGAAGTACAAATACTTTGTTACTTTACTTAAGTAGAATAAATAGTGCATACTTTTTACTTTTACTTTGTTACATTTTGCAGCAATTATTATACTTTCTACTCCACTACAATTCTACAACTTCTGTAACATTTTCATTACATTTTCTGATCAGTTTTCCCCTGCCAAAACGTAATCTGACGGTCTGTCCGTTGCACGTTTGGCCATTGATATATCAACCCGGTCACACTAAATGCGTCTCGCATGCAGTGCGTTTATCGTACAATTTATACGCGAAAATTTGTTTTTATGTGCATAGGAAACGCACCGTGTGTAATATACGTTTGGTTAGGATTATGGCAAGAATTACACCTTAAATTAAACGCGTTTATTGCCAAACATAGTTATTAACATATAGTAAGGATAAGCATGATGTGTATATTGCCTAATTGCAAGCTTGTTTTAGAAATGGTGACAACAAATTTTTTTCCATCATTTTTGAACATCATTATAGGAGTATTAGGTTGAATGAGTTAGAATTAAATGTTTTATTAATCATTAGAAAATAGACATTAAGAGACTAAATTGTTATGCAAGTACTTTAACTTTTAATACTTAAAGTACATTTAAAATCAGGTACTTTTTACTTAAGTATGGTAGTCATTGTGTTACTTCTACTTTTACTAAAGTAAATATTTATCTGGTTATTTGTACTTTTACTTAAGTACTGAGATTTAGTACTTCCTCCACCACTGATTGCCGAGGAGCGGATAAACTATAATCCCAGAAAAGCAGTGGAAAAGCAAACCGAGCTAAAGCGAACCGAGCCGTGCCGAGCAGTGGAAAAGTGAAGCGTGTCGCGCCGAGCCAAACCGTACTGAGCCGTATCAGCAGTGGAAAAGTGCCATATGTAATAGAAAAAATAGAAAAAGTTAAGATTTGAGACTGAAATTGAAAGATGATAATATGGAGTAAATCCTGCTAAAACTCTACCTGCCCCGGTCCTCGTGTGTGAAAGCACGGATCATATCTGAGAAGTTCTCAAAGCTTTTCTTCTTTAGCTGATCCTGAGCCATGGCAAGCATGAGGCCCACATTCACCTCTGGCTGTTTCTGCACTGAATAATTGCGACCCAGAGTCATGATCTCGTGTTCAGACAACTGAATGTCCATATCTGCCAAAAGAGTCCTGTAAAGAACACAGTCATGAATATACATTTGAGTACAATGTCAAACTAAATAGTTTACTAAATAGTACTTTTAAGGCCAATTCACACTCCACCGACAGACAGCGATCAATGGCAACAGACACATTTGTTGAGTTCTGTCGAATCAGTGTGTTACTGCTGTCAGCGTCGGTTTCCGTTGGTCGGAGCTTGTTTTTGCCAATTGAACATGTTGGATCGTTGTTTGTCATGTCTTGGAATGAGAAGTAATGTAGACCTACTGTAATCTGGTGAAAAAGTCTGCATTGGTTGCCTGTCAATGGAGTCTGAATTAGCTTTGATTGCTTCTATTTGACAATATGTGTTTGAATAACAAAAGTCATTCCTTCTTATACTGTGTCTTGCAGAGACAATGACCAAAAAAGGTCCCTTCTTTTCCCCCCAATCAGCCATGACTGCGACGAGAAATTTTGTCAGTCAGTTCTATTTCTGCAGGTAATCCCGACCACAAAAATCAAAATCAGTGAAATTGGTCCAAAATCTCACTCAGGATAACTTTATATTATTTGGCAGGTTAGAACAGGATGGACACCCTTTTTTTTGGTGAATCTTTGGCCGTCTCCTTACCTGAATGACTCATATGGAATGAAGCCAGTGCTGCTTGGGTCACTCATCATGATGAACTGTTTTACTTTCTTCTGCTGTTCCTCACTGGTGGATTTGACCTTGCTGATAATGGTGCCAATATTGGCCTTGGGGAACTAAGTAATGGAGAAACATAGGGCTTTCAAATAAAGTTCCTGTGTAGAAACATACATCTTGGCACAGCTTAGCAAAAAGTTGGATGATTTGTTCATTAAACAATGTTAATCAAAATAGGTTATGGAAAAGAGAAGAGACAAAAAAAAAAAATGATTTTTTGTGTGTGTATAACCTCATCAGCATGCTGCTCCATATAGTTGAATGTAAATTCATCAGCATCCAGAAGCTGGAAAGGCTGATTGTTCAAATCCACTCGAGCTCCCACATATAAATCCTGAGCTGTGTAATACTCAGACTTCTCACTCTTAAACAGTTCCTGTCCTGGCTTCTTCACTCGACCTCTTTCTAAGAACTTACCCCCAATCAAACCTTAAAGACAAGAACAATGGAATCAAATTAGGCAGAATCTTTATCATGTTTTTTTTTTTCTGATCTAAATTTAAACAGGATGGCAGTACCTGAGTTTCTCTGAGGAGGTTCAAAGACTGCTATGGTGTCATCACTGAGGTAGAGGCATATAATAAAAACGCGTTCTTTGTCGATAGGTCTGTCAGTCAACATTTTCCCCACAAATCTCAACACATTGCTCACCAGACCTTGCCTAGAGTTGAGGGGAAAAAACAAAAACAAATTTATCCCCTGGCTGGATGTGTGTTTTTTTTTTTTTTTTTAACAATATACAGGTTGATATCATCAACCCCAACTGAACTGCAATCAGTTAAAAATTTGTCATTGCATATTCACTAGTCATTTTTTTCCATTACAAAAACTATATGAATCCAAACTTTACTAGAAAGTCTGAAGATTTGTCCTCTTTCCAACTTGTAATGATGCTTCTTTAAATATTTAGTCAACAGTCCTGACAAAATCAGGATGTGGCTTGGTTCCTTACTTAAATTCAAGATGTTTCCTTGCTTATTCCGTGTGGGTTTAGTCCTGTCACTTAGCTGCTTTGGGGTTATTACTATCTATAAAAGAATCCTAAATCCTTTATTTTGGACAGCTTTACTTTTCTCTTCAAACTCGACGTCTGCCAATGTATGACAATGTAATGGCCAAAGCAAATTGAGCAAGATAATAATTTTCCGCATGATACTGGTTCTGGAATTATATTTGGAGGTGAAGCACAATGAAAACAATGTATAATAATAAACTGACTTGCAAGAGCTGGTTTTACATCGGAAGTATCATGAGATTGCGTTTGAGCCTTTGATTATTTATGAAGGCACATGTTCGTCGTCCACTTCCTAGTGCTGTACTGCAAAGAGCTGCACTTAACTGATGAAGGATGACTTTAGCAGGACAGATAAGGGTCTAAACTCTTCTGTCAAAATGATCAGAAACCAGTAAGGGTCTAACATGTTTTTTTTTTTTTTATATAATATTAATGGTTTTAAATGGAAGGGAAGAATATACTCTGGACGTCCTAAGGGAGATTAGTGCCGCTGGTTACCTGTCTTTCTCCAAAAGCTTCCTGAAATCTTTCTGTGGAGGTTTAGGCAGCAAACTCTGACAGGAGCAGAGCGAATCTTCCTCAGATCCAAATCCAGTGTAGGGTGGCACCTGTTTGGCTGGCTTAGGAGGGGGCGGGGCCTTGAATGAGACGGGTGTGAAATCCTCTATGAAGGCACACAGGAAGAAAACATCAAAAACATCTCCCACACACATTTAAGCAGACATAAGCATGGAACACTGGAAGTAAGGCCATACAGAGTTGCGTTTAACCATATGAATTCAATTCATCTTAAAACGAACAAGTGCTTCATCAGAGCCAGGGTCAACCGGGCTCCATTAGGCTTATCTGTAACTAATGCTATGATCTCTTCAGTCGGCATAACGCCGCAGCAGACAGATGCACACACACCCGTATTGTGTTACTGTTGGCACGGAGTTGTGTGCTTCTCATGTACTGGGTTTAGAAAATAAAAAAATGGCTGGCCATTGATCAAATCTGCTGTCCACAAACTAAGTCACCTTAAGGTATCAATCAGTTCTGCTCCTTTAGTCTTCTGCTGTTCAATGTGTGTGTTATTATGACAGTTATTTACAGGGATGAAAGCACACCGGGGAGCATTAGTCTGTCATAGAGATATGTGATTTACAACAGGAAGACTTCGAAAATAACGAACAGCTTGTCAGACCACACATACGAGAGATGTGAGCTTGAGGTATTTAAATTAGATTTGTACTTCACTGCAAAAAAAGCAATAGACCACAAGATGCACATGTTTTAGAGAGTTTGTTTGTAGCAAATAAAATAAATGTGAATTCATCATAACTTCAGAAAACTCAATACTGACACCATGTGGTCATTAATAACATCCTGAAAATAGTCCCCCCCTGAAAATCTTCAAAACTAATAATATTAACAATAATCCATCCATTCTCCACAGCATTTGCCCTATGTAGGGTTGTGGGAATTCTAATTATTATTATTACTGCGGCGCTATATATGATAAAAAAAAGTTACTAATAATATTAACCTTTTTATACAATGAAAATAAAATTAGAAATCATAAAAAGACAAATGGCTCCTTTGAATGTAAGGAATTCGATTATTTTCACTGACAAAACTATTACAAATCATGAAATATGATAAATCAATATTAACGCTAGCCAATATTTCAACATCTGTAAAAGCATAAATACTTCTCCATCGCCTTGAGTCATGATGTAACTCACCAATACCATATTTGGAGCGATAATACTCTTTAGTGAAGTTGTCGCAGTCACATAACAAGACCCTACGACCCCACACGTTAATGACGCCTCCAATGATCAGGTCACAGTCTTTGTATACTTCTTCATCTAATGCTCCAGTCTGTAAATGTCAAGGAGACATTGACATTCTTGTCCATTAATATTGAAACAATTGGCTCCTAATCTAATTAAATGTGGTATTTGTAAAAAAAAAAAAAAAGGTTAATGTGAATTTCCTGAGGTGTTCACAATGGACTCTTTTTTAATCAGTACTTACTTTGAGGCTATCCAAAATGTAGCGTCCTCCTTGTCCAACTGGTCCAAATACATTGAGGACTGTGCGGTCTGTTATTTCTCCAGGCTGACGTTTGGGAATAGGAGCATTCTGGCAGAAGCAAGAGAAAATAATTGATTTTTTTTCAGTACTTGAAGGACAAGAGAAATTTGGAAATGGGTTCATTATTATTTTCTCACAGGGGCATTTCTGTGAACCTTGTCAGATGACATTTAGTGATTGGCAACATAATATGTGACAAAAAAAAAAAAACCCTGAACAAACCCATCTTTCATAATGAATTTAGACTGAAAAAACAAAAGCAGGGAGGAAACTAAAAAGTGCTTTAGGGAAGTTGGATGTTCTTTCAGCCCTGTCAGTCTGGATAAAAGCTTGGCATGGAGGATAGAGAAATTTGTTCAAAGCAAAACGGGAACTGATTACCACTGAGTCTTATCTAAAGGTGGAACAAACAGTGAAGACTCATTTTCATTTATTTTCACCCTCATTGATATCACATCTTCAGCACATCCATTTTAGTATTTTTATAATTTGTATTACGTACAAGTTGATTTCTTGTTTTAAGTTTAAACCCATGCTTATACAATACTGTTTGGGGTTTATGTAGTTCTTTAATGTCATTGGAAGAAGTCTCTTATGCTCACAAAGGCTGAATAGATCAAATACAGTATGAACAGTAGGCTAATATTGTGAAATGTCATTAAAATTTTATATAAATGTTTTCTATTTTGATATTTTTTAAAATATATAATTGTATTAATGTATAATTGTAATTTATTCCTGTGATGGCAAAGATGGAACTTTTCAGCGGCCATCCTGTAACTACTCGCTGATTACAAAACAGTCCACGCTTCCGAAGTACTGATGTCCATTTTTGTTTATTTATTCCAGAGACACCGTGAAAACTAGACACAAAGGAAAACCAAACCATAATTTTACACACAACACCACTACAAACACAAACCAACATAATATACAAAGTATTAAAACATTTACCGTATTCGCCTGGTAACCAACAGTAGATTTAAGTCAGGAGCACTATCCTGCGGTCTTAGTTTCACATCACATCATTACATTGACGCTAACACGTCCAGCTGAATTAATCAGCACACACAGGATCACATGACCTCAACTTCAACGATAGAATAATAATAAAATACAAACGGCAAACAAATTAAGAAATTCACCATACAGAAATACACATTTAAACTATGAAATCACAAAATAAACTATAAAGTCAAAATAAACATTAACCACTCAAATCACCAAAATATCATCCCCTGAGCTGACCTTCCAGCGTCAGCTACACTCCCACCAAATTACCATTGAGTGATAAGAAACAAACACAACCAATCAAATGGTAATTTCCAAGCTCCAACAGGAAACATGAAAATCGGCAAAAAAAGCAAAAAACAACAAAAAAAAACCACCACAAAAAAAAGGTTCATATTTCATAATTACACAATCTTCTGTTAAAATGAACAAATTGTTCACCATTCTTCACATTCTACTGTCAACCAGCATTAGGGCAGCACAAATCAACATATCACAGCATGGTACTAACATGATTCAACTTCTAATGAGTGATAAGATATTAATTTTCACCTTTTGCTACAAGAACTACCAATTTTTGGATGGGTCGTTCAATAACAGAGGGTTTAGTGAGGCGTTCACCCCTTTTCCCCAACTTCCGATCACCAATCTGTATTTTAGCTTTCCGTACCAGTCCATCATCAGCCTTGCAAACTTCAACGACCCTAGCCAACCTCCATTCGTTGCGGGGAGTTTCCTCTTCCTTAACAATGACAATGTCCCCCACTTGCACATTCCGCCTTAGTGCATGCCATCTTTGCCTTAGAGAGATATTAGCAAGATATTCTTTCCTCCATCTGCTCCAAAACTGTTCACTCAAATACTGCACCTGCCTCCAACGTTTCTTTGCATAAAGATCTTCCTTAACAAATGCACCCGGAGGAGGAAGTGGGACAGACGACTTCATGGTAAGCAGGTGATTGGGGGTTAAGGGCTCTGGACTTGTAGGATCACTGAGACCATCCACTGTCAATGGCCGATTGTTGACTATTGACATAGCTTCATAGAAGAATGTACGTAAAGAGGCATCATTAAGTCTTCCACTACTTAGTGCCAAAACTGAACTCATCACACCCTTTACAGTTCGAATCTGCCGTTCCCAGACACCTCCAGCGTGACTTGAACTGGGTGCATTCAGGCAGAAATCGCACTGCTTCTCTGCCAGATATGCTGCCACTCTCTCTTTACTCACTTCTCTTAAAGCTTTCTTCAACTCATTCCTTGCCCCCATGAAGTTTGTTCCTTGGTCTGATCTAATATGTCTGACAGCTCCACGGATGGCTAGAAAACACCGTAAAGCGTTGATGAATGCATCAGTCGTCATGTCCTCCAACATCTCTACGTGGACTGCTCTGGAGCAAAGACAAGTAAAAAGAAGGCCATATCGTTTATGTGTTTTACGACCTTGCTTGGTGTAAAAAGGACCAAAACAGTCCATGCCACAATAGGTAAATGGCGGGGAGGGGTCAGTTCGGTCATGGGGCAAGTCCGCCATCCGTTGTTGTTCTGGCGGCCTACGTGCTCTCCTACAAGGAACACACTGTCGTATGTAGTGCGCTACCACCTTACTGCCACCCATGATCCAAAAGCCATTGGCTCGCAGTTCATTCAGAGTCTGTCCCCTGCCTTGATGTTGAATTTTTTGATGATAGTGTGCCAATACAAGGTATGTGATCAGACCATTACTTGGAAGGATTGCTGGGTATCGTAATTCAAGAGGAGCACATGCCCTCCTCAATCGTCCTCCCACCCTCATTATTCCATCCTGCATGAATGGATCAAGCTGATACAGAGGATGGCTTGAAGGCAGCCTGCCCGAGTCCTGACTGAGTACATTCAACTCTTCTTTGAAAGCATCCTGTTGTGCAAGCTGAATAAGAGTAAATGAGGCCCTCCTCCTCTCCTCGACATTTAAAGATGTTGGAGTCTTCATCTTCCTTGCTAATCTTTGGATGCGAGCAATGACATTCACAGCTGTAGTCCATTTTGATAGTCGTGATAGTCGCTGTTGAAAATCCACCTCAGTCATAATCTCGGTCCTCAATACCTGGACAGCCTTGACCTCCGGGTCTCCCACCGACAGCTCCAACGTTCCTTGTTTAGCAAATATCTCTTTCTCCCAGAGGAATCTGGGCCCTGTCAACCAGTTTGAACTGATCAACTCCTCTACAGTAAGGCCCCTCGAGGCATGGTCAGCAGGATTCTCTTCTGTATTGATGTAATACCACTGTCTTGGATCGGTGGCCTCCCGAATTCTCTGGACCCGGTTAGCAACAAAGACATGAAATCTTCTTGCTTCATTGTTGATATAGCCAAGGACCACTTGAGAATCTGTCCAGAAATATTCTCTATCGACTCTGAGTGCCAACTCCTCTTTCAACGTACTACTAACAGCAGCAGAGATGACTGCTGCAGTTAACTCTAATCTTGGTATAGTGACAACTTTGATGGGAGCAACTCTTGCTTTACCCATAACTAAAGCACAATGTATCTTACTTTCACTCATCAATCTGATATAAGAGCACTGCCCATAGCCTTGACTGCTAGCATCAGAAAAGTGGTGCAATTCAATGCTCAGAATCGGCCCAAAATTTGGAGGGGCGAAACATCGTGGAATCTGTACCTTCCCTAGGTTGGGCAGATCATTCAACCAACTCTCCCACCTTGGTCTCAGTTCAGAGGGTAACGGTTCATCCCAACTGATGCCCTTCTGGCACATCTCCTGCAGGACCTTCTTGCCAGATATGACAAATGGGGCCAAAAACCCCAAAGGGTCATAGACTGAAGCCACCATGGACAGAATTCCACGTCGTGTCGCAGGTTTCCTTTCAAGAACAACCTTGAATGTGAATACATCATTCTCTACATCCCACCTTACGCCCAAGACATTTTGTACTGGAAGAAAGTCATGATGAAAGTCAACGTTCTTTACTTCAGCAGCATGATCACACGGACTGATTGACTCCAACACTTCTCGGTTGTTTGAAATAAACTTGTGAAGATGCAGCTTTCCCTTAGCACACACGGCCTGAGCTTCCTTCACCAGCTTGATTGCTACCTCAACAGATTCCAGGCTTACAAGGCCGTCGTCCACATAAAAATGGTTCCTGATAAACCCCGCTGCCAAAGGATACTCACTCTCATTCATATTGGCGAGATACTTCAGGCCATAATTGGCGCAGCCTGGAGAAGATGATGCTCCAAAAAGGTGTACTTTCATGCGATATTCTCTGGGTTCTGCGTCGGTATCCCCATTTGCCCACCACAGAAAACGCAGATAGTCCCGATCTTCCTTAATAACATGAAATCTATGAAACATTTTCTCAATGTCACACATGACAGCGATAGGGTGTTTACGGAAACGGCAAAGCACTCCAGTCAATCCATTGGTAAGGTCAGGCCCTGTCAATAGATGGTCATTTAACGCGGTACCTTCATACCTAGCGGCGCAGTCAAAGACTATCCTGATCTTATTTGGTTTCCTATGGTGATAGACGCCTTGATGGGGAATATACCACACATTACCCGGGTCTGGTTGCTCATTTGCTATTTCCGCATCTCCATCTCTGAAGACATCTTCCATAAACTTCACATAGTCCTGTCTGAATTGAGGATTCTTGTCCAGTTTCCTCTTGAGGTGCTTCAACCGTCCTAATGCAAGACTCCTATTATTTGGAAGCTGAGGCCGTATTTTAAAAGGAAGAGGCATCTCAAGATGGCCATACTCATTTTGATAGACACCCTCTTTTACTACCTGCAGGAACTGAATATCATCTTGTGATTTACTCTTTTCACCGGATGAAATATCTATAAAATCCAGCTCAAGTGCCCTAATAACAGTGGCAGGTGTCACGGAGGGGAGTTCTCTGACTGATATGCGATGGCATAAACCAGTCCCAAACTTGGAGTTTACACATCCTGGAGTTCCTCCTATGATGCTCCAGCCAAGGTCCGTCTTGATGGCATAAGGCTCTTCATCCCCACCAGTGATGACCTGTCGTGGCATCAGTGCTCTGGAGCAATCATAGCCGATCAATAGACCTACTCCACAATCCATCCGTACGGGCATTTCATTAGCGATCACCTCTAGGTGTCTCCACCGTTTAGCTGTTTCGCAGGTTGGAATATGTGTGGGCACAAAGGGAATAAAGTCTCTTGTGTAAACAGGAGGCAGACAGATAGGGATGTCCGAAGAAAATCCTCTAACCTGAAGTCCACTTACACTGTGACTCATTACAACAGAGTCTTTTTCCATCATTGTGGAAAGCTTTAGTTTTACCGGTTCCATTAATGCCTGCAAGCTTTCACACACTTCCTGATCCACAAATGTGTGACTACTCTGGGTGTCTAGTAAAGCATATACACAGACTTCAGACTCTGAGTTAGATAAAGACAGCCATACTGGGACAATCATAGATGTTATATCACCTTCTCCACCCTTCGTACAGCATGTTAGAGAGAATGCATTCTCTTCCGTCTGCAAAGCTATCCGTGGAGACGACTTGTTTTCTGGCTGACGATCTTCATGTAATGAAGTGGGGTGGCGCTTCTTGCATAACCCACACACAGCTCTATTTCTGCAGTCTTTGGAGCCATGCCCTCTTCTTAAACATGCAAAGCACAACTTATTCTCCATGACAAACTTCCTCTTTTCCTCTACTACCCTTTCCATTAGTTTTGGACATTCCTGAATAGAATGACGATCATCACAGAACATACATTCAACTGAATTTAGGCCACTCACAAAGGTAGTTTTCTTCCTACAAGTCTCTTCAGTCTCACGGTCGGTAAGGTCACTGAATTCAGCCGTAGCATATGCTGCATCTAAAGCCTTCGCAGTGGTTGCAAACGTGTTTACTCTTGAACGCTTTATTTCCTTAGATGGCTTCTCTTCAACAGTCTTTAGTGCATACAATGATGACACAGGATTGCACGCTATGCGTGCTTCTTTTGATACAAATGAGGCAAACTGATTAAAGCTTGGATAATCTTGGTCTTTATCCAGCTGTTCTGTGACATAACGGTTCCACCTGCTTGTCACCCAGAAAGGAAGTTTGGCCAGTATCCTCTGATTTTCCTCGCAATCATCCAGCACTTGAAGACCCTTAATATGCGGCAAAGCATCACTACATGATTGTAGGAAGTCACTGAACTCTCTTAACTTGACGTACTCGGCTGCACCAATCTTAGGCCACCTATTAAGTTTCTCTCTAAAGGCACGTTGCACCACAAAGGAGTGACCATATCTGGCATTCAACTTCTCCCACGCTTGCTGATAGGCCTGTTCATCTTTCCTGTAGAAGCTACCTTCCAGAGCCGATCTTGCCTCACCGTCAACATACTTCTGTAAGTAGAAGAGCTTATCTGCGGGATTTGAGCACCGTCCCTCTATTAGAGCTTTAAAGGTGGTGCTCCATTCTATAAACTTCAATGGGTCGCCATAAAATACAAAGGGTTCTGGAGCTGGGAGTCGAGATAGAGCCATAGACCCTTGTAAGGCCTGTACTAAGGATACTTCACTTCTTGTAACTTGCTGATTCAAACATGTGTTAGGAACCAGGGGGCTGTGGTTACTCACGTCACATACTGAATCACACCGTTGACTTTTTATCCTTGACTCCTCCTCAGTATACACTCTGAGCCTTGCCTCCATAACCTCAATGTCTCTACGATCTTCCAGCTTCTTCAGTTGCTGCCTTTGTGCTTCGATGTCAGCCTCCATTTCCACTTCAGCCTTTTTCGCGGCCAACAGCGCAGCAGTCTCTGCTCTCTTAGCTGAAATGCTTTCAGACTCCGATGCAGGTTTAGAATGATTGCTAACGACCGTAGCTCTACCCACCGTGGATCCATATATAGACCTAGCGTACTCACAGTCCAGTAGCATACGTAACCTTGCTCTCTCAGCTTCAGCATCAAATTCTATGCCATCTTCCACCATGCGTACCCTCATTAATTTCATCAAGTCTGCCGTTACAGCCGAACATGCATCAATTTTTCTCCTAGTTTCTTGGCTTGGTGGTGCTTGGAGTCGCATGTTATCATATAACTCTTTCAATTCAAACTCTTGCCTCTCAACCTCATCCATCATGTCACACAAGTCTTTTTCAGAGCACTCACGTTTTAACTTTGAACGAACATCTCTGGCTTGAGACTTCCATTTCTCATATACAGATTTAAACTTCCTCTCCTTTTGAATCAGTTCTTGCTCTTTTAACTCCTGCATCTTTGGAGTTAAACGTTTATCATGGGAGGATTTTCTGATTTCAGTCGTCTCTAATAACACAGAATTAAGCTCTTTACGCCTTGCCTCAGATTTCTCTGTGCATGATGCACATGATACATGTCGAGGCCTCACAACACCATCCAAATTCTCTGCCAATAAATCTACTTGCTCTGATAATGGAGAATCATTTTGTTCAGCTGACTCACCCTGGACTGACATTTTTCTAAAAAATTTGTGCTTTTACAAATAGTACAAAATATGACGTTTATGATCGCAATAGATAGTAGTGAAACAATCTTAGACTGAGTAACAAATTAACTTAAATGCCCTTAACACTTAGACATTTATCTACTTAAGAAATCTTAAACACATTACAATCATGCAGTTAAGAATCAGTTATCTCTGGAACTTTTTTTTTTTTTTTTTTTTTTTTTTTACTTAAAACTATCCATCATTTACAAAAAGGATCATTTGACATTGCACATCTAACCTGCTGATACGCAGCTGACACAAAGTTGCGTGAGAAGATCCTCCATTGACGGTCATGTAGCAGATTTACACACTAAAGCTCGCAACGGTCCATCATAGAAGGCAAACACTGCACGCCAAGTCCTTTAAGTTCACCACGGGACACAATCGAACGGCACGCGAAGTCCAAGGAAGGCACAACAGATCCGCACACCGAAGACAGCAGCATCGGCGATCACCACGGAAAACAGTTCATCCGCGTGCAGAGACTTGGAAGTGGCAGGCTGCTCGCCGAAGCTGGAGGATCACCGCCAAAGCACATCTCGTAGTCGGTAGAATGGAATTAGGTTACGTTTTCACTGTAACTACTCGCTGATTACAAAACAGTCCACGCTTCCGAAGTACTGATGTCCATTTTTGTTTATTTATTCCAGAGACACCGTGAAAACTAGACACAAAGGAAAACCAAACCATAATTTTACACACAACACCACTACAAACACAAACCAACATAATATACAAAGTATTAAAACATTTACCGTATTCGCCTGGTAACCAACAGTAGATTTAAGTCAGGAGCACTATCCTGCGGTCTTAGTTTCACATCACATCATTACATTGACGCTAACACGTCCAGCTGAATTAATCAGCACACACAGGATCACATGACCTCAACTTCAACGATAGAATAATAATAAAATACAAACGGCAAACAAATTAAGAAATTCACCATACAGAAATACACATTTAAACTATGAAATCACAAAATAAACTATAAAGTCAAAATAAACATTAACCACTCAAATCACCAAAATATCATCCCCTGAGCTGACCTTCCAGCGTCAGCTACACATCCAGTCTTCAGTTTCACATGATTATATAATATACTGCTTTGGTCCTCATGAAACTTATGTCTTATTATTATCAATATCATATCCTGTTGTGCTGCTTAATATTTTTGTTGAAACTGATAATTGTTTTTCAGGATGTGTTCAAGTCGGCATGAAACAGTTTCATTTTTTTCTTCCCTATTATAATGTATAATTGAATACAAAGGCTTAATCGAACAAGAAAAAGGGAATTAATTGGATCTTTGTGAGTGACAGGTTGTCTCGCTCTCATGCCGAAAAATGCATCATTAGAGAATAGTCATGTTGCAGAGAAAGTTATTTTGATTAAAAATTACAATTTTGTATAATGATAATAATGTGCAAGGGTAAATTAATAATATAAATTATATAATAATATGATAATAATATAAATAATAAATTCTGCAATATTATAAAAAAAAAACAAGATGTCCAACGTGATTCATGGTAAAGTATAAGTTACGAAGTTACGAATTATATATATATATATATATATATATATATATATATATATATTATTATTATTTATTTATTTTTTTTGCTGTGCTGTTTTTTTTTTTTTTTACTAACCTTGGGAAGCTTGCCCCTGTGCAGAAATTTAGGGACAGCATCTCGACCTGAGTTTGGAGGGACAACTTCGTAAATTTCCATGGTGTCATCTGCCAGGAAATAATGCAAGACCATCTCTCTGAGGTTTCCAAACATGCTCTCAGTATCATCCCAGTAGCAGCAGAAGCGCAGGACTTTTCGGTCATGTTCCAAAAACTGCTTCATGGTATCCAGTCTTTCATACGGCCGCCGTGGCTTCATGTTCTCCTCCATCTGAAAGGGGAAAGAAAGATTATAATATTGAAGTCTTGATATTCCTGTTTAGAATATACATGGTGCTTACCTCTTGTCGAAGTGTGGAATAGGGATCTGCTGGTGCGGAAGCAGGGGGGTTTATGCGCACCCCCATTTTCATCAAGAAGTTGCGTGTGAAGGGATCACAGTCTGTTATCATAAAGGTCCTGGAATAGAGCAATATTTCCTGATTGATGTTGAAATGGTGCACATTGTAGAAGCAATCATCTTTAGGAGCTGGGAGAGGAATACGGTGGCGCCGAATGAGGGTTCCTACATGGAACGAGAACAGATGGATTTAAACAGGATGTTTTTACTGGTTTCTCATTAATCAGCATTTTATGTGTTTGATTTTGATAGTTTACCCTGTGGGATCCCACTGTTTTTGAGTTCTGGCTCCACTACTTGTATGGTGTCATCCTCCAGGTAGAAGTAAATCTTGCACTTTCGTACTCTATATTTTTCTTCCCTCCTCTGAGGTACAGTTTCTTGGAAATAAGCATCAAAACACAGGACCTTTGGGTAAGAAAATAGTGAGGGGAAATTAATATACTTTGCACAGCACGAGGTAAAAAAAAAAAGTAAATTATTACTTATAATTATGATGACAAACCTGTTTGTTAAAGGCAACCCATGCCGGAGTATCACCACCTTCTCTCTTTGGAAAAAGTGAATACTTGGGTCTTGTGCTCTGCCCAAGAAGCAGTTCTCCTCCTATGCCTGGCTTCTCTGTACCAACCATCATGGCTACTCCATTTGAATAATCAAAATGCTGAGATTTGTGGAATTTTTCTCTTCCAAGCTGGAAAATAGTTAATACAAATTAAATGTACAATCATCTCCTTAAAATCCTGCTTTTCCACATTGTAAAATGTTTTCTACATTTGTTATTTTAATGAGGTTACAATTTTCTTCAGTAGTACATACAATATATAACTTATTTATCTATAAATTACAGGAACGTCTGTCTGTCTGTCTAGTCCGATGGATTTCAAACTTGACAGATGTCTTACGGGCACTGCCAAGTCTGACGTTGGATTAGAAATGTAAAATATATCGTTAAAATATATCAGTAAAAGAAGTCTACATTAAACATGTTTAGAAGGTTGTGGTTTACAAATAACGGAATATTATGTTTTTTTTCACGGCCATCATTTGAAGTAACTCACAAACTGTCATCCCAAGTAGCGTTTTCTCGGGGTTCGCTCACTCACTGTAGCCTAATTAGCACTGCTCCCTGAATCGCTAGTCAGCTAACATTGTGACTTCTGAATATTATATTTTATTCTGTTCCGTTTGAATTATATTTTATTCAATTGCCTTTGTCTTTATAACGTTAACGTATCTGCACAATGACAACAAAGTTGACACTAAATTAAATCTAATCTAATTTAAACTCTTGCTACCTGCACAGATAGCCTACCCAGATACCCAATTATCAGTGCTAACGTTATTTGCTTTCTAACCATGCACCAACAAAAATGTCTCTGAACTTTTGCTGTGTAATTGTAACAATGAGCACTCACACCAAACCAACAACACACACAAAAACTGATTTTGAACGGGCACCTTGCAATAGTAAGTTATATAACGTTATTTAACTTATAAGTTACACACACACACACGACTAATATGTTTTCCAAAGTAGCCTAAACCGCTTTGGCCGCTTTTATTCAGCATTTTCTTTCCTCAACGCAGACAAACCATTTGTATAGATACTTAACATTTCTGTTGACTGAATTTCCAGGCATCATGGGTAACGCCATTATTAGTAGCAGCAAGCGATAATGTAAGAATATTTCCTCAGAGCAGGACGACACTAGACTCCACGACTGGTTGCCAAGGTAATAACTTGTTTGCAGATATCATTGCTAGGCAACGATCTATGTTTTCCGTTTATTTCCGGTATCTGTGCAACAAAGGGCAATGTTGAATATCACCGTTTCGACAACACGAAAATGCAATTAAGTCATCGAATAAATAAAGGCCGCCAGAAAATATTAGTTAATAAATAAATTAGAGCTATGACATACAGTACTACTTTTTAAACTCTTTAGCCAAGCTGTTATAGAATGATTTATAATTGTAATATAAAAATTATTTATAATTATTGTCTGTGCGGCCAATTTGTCATAAGTGTATGTAATGTATGTTGGGTAAAATACGTTATGCGTTTGTATTCTATAAAAATATACTGTATGATACAAATTGTTTTTAAACCTTCTATTCCTCAAGTTTAGATTTTTTTTTTTTAACACACCACTGAGACCAACCAGATGAAGGTACAAGCAACAGGACAGAAGCACTTAAAAAAAAAAAAACAGATCAAAAAGTATGAATAGACAGTAAATAACCAGAAATACATTTTTATTATTTCTGCAAACATGATATTGGTGTGTTAGTATGTATATTAATAAAATAAATCATGAATGTAAAACTCTGAAAAAAACAATGCATGCTTTTTGACATGTAGATATTAAAGAAATTGTACAACCAACTCAATACAAACACTTTAGTAAGTAGTATATGTAACAGACTTCATGTTGATGTTTTACTGATTAACAAGAAGCTAAATAAAATTAAAAACAACATAATAAGAACCACACCACCAATTTTCTATTAAGTCATTGGCACAAGATACACCTCTCTCCCCCCTTCAGGTTGTTTGGGCTATGTACAGTTAAGAACAACATTTTAGACTAGAGGAATATCTTCAGAACAACAGTAAAGCAAATGTCCATTGCACTAACTGCTTTTTGATACATCAAGTCCCAGTGTTTTACTTGTACCGCTGTGATACTGAAATAAGGGAGAATATTACTGTGCAAAATACTTATATCAGTAGCAATACAGTAGATCCAGGTTTCATTTAGGACGCCAGGCCCAGCAGAAATCCTCCAACAAATCCACCCGAGATAACAATATTCCTCTTCACAAATTCTGTAGACTGCACAGGACAAATAAATTTACAGAGTGTAGGTTACATTTTAAGAACTTGCTGAACCATTATGTGCATTCACTAACAAAATGGGTTGTACAATTTTTGTATGTATTGGTATAGGTTGATAAAAGTATCACAGAATACCTACCTCTTCTATAAAGGAATTAAGCTCAGGGGCTGCTTTGTTTGCCTTTTTCTTCAAATGCTTTTTAGCTTTATTGACATCCTTCTCCACTTTCCTCCAGTCAACCTGCACATAGCCACTGTGGTTGGCAATCTGAAATAAGAAAAGATATTTCCCCCCATAGGTAAGATGACTTTGAAGCAAAATCCTTAAAATGGCTAGGCTATATGATGCATGCATTTTAACAATCCATACTTGTAACAAAAGAAATCCCCCTCCAACAGCAGTGGCCACAATTTTTCCAACTCTCTGAAAGAGATAACCAGCACACCTAGAGGACAGAGATCATTGAGTGGACATACTAATAATCGATGCATTTATTCAGTTATTTCCTATATAGAACAACCTAGAATATTGATTGTCTATATTAACACTAACCATCCTGTCACTCCACCCATCATGATCTGTGAAGCAACGGAGTACTTTTCTGCAATGGGTCCTGTGCTGCTCCCAAAAACACGACTCCACCATTGATGCCTCCTGGCATAATCTGTGATGTTAACCACCTCATACAATTCATCTTCACTTTCTGCATCTACATCTGAAAACAAACAGTAACTGTCATTATACATGAATATAGCAATTGTATATTCACAGAATCACAAAACATGGATTCAAGTGTTCATGCTCCTTCAAAGAATTCATTTGCATTGGTATGGTAAGCAATAAGTAAACAAATTATTGTGTATTTCTACCCAAAAATAAATTGTAGGTCCACAACCTGTTTTAGATCCTTTATTATTTTTTAATAACCCTTATGATCTGATACAAAAACAAAATAAGTGGTGAGAAATAGCAACATTCTTATGTTGCAACACGCTAATGTTTAACACTGATAATAGGGTCGCCAATCTCACTATCGCAATATAAGCCGAGTGTAAAAGGCTCTTTAGAGTATATTTTAAATGGATTCACAAACGTGCAATTGGAAAGATACGAATGAAAAATGAAAACAGTATGGTTGAATCTCCCACGATTTAGCAACATGATATCTGTTTAGTCTGCTAACATAATTATTAAGCGAACACCCTGCAACTACATTGGAAACACTTGCAGTCTCGTTGCACATTACCCATATGGTTAAAAACACGTTGGCAATCAAGACTATTCAGTCAAATGTTTGGTAGGCCAATTTATTTACCTTCACCGCGATCCGCCATTTTATGAGGCTGCGTTCACAATGTTCGCAACCGTTGCAGCTCTACGCAAAATCCTGCGTAATTTACGTGCGATCACTGCCCACAGACCAAATACATAGAAAAGTGTAATAGAATATACAATATTTTTTAACTACACTACCAGAGGTCTGATTGCCTGAAACTGGCTTTATTTTATATAATAAGAAACACTGCACTATAACAAACAAACAAACAAACAACAATATTATTTTATTATTATTATATCTTATAATTTTCATCGTTTTTATCTAAAATTATTGGATATATTTCCCTTTTTTGTAATTTTTAATAAAGGAAGAAAGAAAGATTATAGGATTATTTTTTGGGGATATGATGACATATGTATACAATATTTTATTAATTCTTATTTAGTTTTTTTTTTTCTTTCTTTTTTGCAGTTCTGTGATGTGTATTGCTGTAATGCCCCAGTTTCAGAAAATAAATGCACACATATATATATATATATATATATATTAGCAACGTTCTCTTCACATCCTCAACACCCTGCGCTATCAAACAGACAGATGCTTGAACCAATAATGCGTTTTATGATAGTGTTACGTAATCATAATAAATCCAGGTGAGCCAATCGCAGCAGGCGAAGACATGGCGTAAAGTTGAGGGGTTTGTTATTTACCCTCCCCCTTGAAAGTTTATGTGGAAAAAAAAAGCATCCCAAGACAAGGCCGATCACGTGGTCCTCGTCGAAAGCAGCGATTGGTCCAAACCACAGAGAAGGCGTTCCGACGGCGGCGGCGTGGGTTCGCTTGAGTGACACAATTATAACAAGTTTGAGCTGGCGACTAGGGGGAAGTTTGAGACATTATTAAATAACAATTTAAACCGTTAAATCTTGCATTGCTCATTCTGCATGCATTTTGGTGTACCTGCTACCTGCGACTCATTTATGTCGAGGACAATGTGAAAAAGGGGGTGTTCAGAGGAAATTATTTTCCATCTATTATTTTTTGCGTGTAGATCTACGCTAAAGGGTGCTCGGCTTGCGGTGCGTAAATATTTTCGCTGGAGTTTTTTGTCTATGAAATCGTGCGGAGTGTCGGTGGCCGCTGTAGCTCGCGCTGCTGCTGGTGGTGGTGATGAGGAAAAGAAAATGGCGGCGGGAAAAGCGAGTGAAACCGAGGAGGACTTTCCGAAGCTTACGCCGCAAGAAAGGGAGCGCTTAGCCAGCATAGACAGGTCAGTTAAAGCCCCTTTACCTGCACCGATGACCCTCTGTGCATTTTTATAAGGCTTCCCCGCATGTTAAAGCGGTACAAATGAATGCGGTGCAGGTAAAGTAACACGGAACCGCCTGTGTTGTCCTCTATTTGCAGCACACTGTTTGGATTTCAGAGGCTTCATGAAGATGGCGCCAGAACGAAGGCCTTGCTGTTAAAGGTATGAGTGTATGACACTGATGGGGCTCCAGACAGATAGACAAACAACTCTGCTAATCATAAGGAAATTACAACGCTAACGTTACATCAGTCTGCACAATGTGACCACATTGCACAGGAAAAAAAAAGCATAATATATGATACACTTACACTATGCAATGATTCTTAAGGGGGGTCTATATAGACATTAGTGTATACTTTATTAATCAGCAGCCATACAGCCCGAACAACATGGCATTGTACAGAATAGTGCTGTGTGCGTGACACTTTTATGATGCTGTAAACACATACATTTATAATGCAATAAGAAATGGAAGCTATATACAATATTTCACGTTGTAAGTTACTATGCAGCCACTGAGATATATTAAATAAACCATATATTATCGACCAGCGTTATGTTTAATGTTGGATTTTACATCCGCATATTCAGTATAACGTTACTCCCGTAAAGCAAATCTGCGTGATTGTGTATCGTTGCAATGTTTTAACTATATTATTATACCTAGCTCTTTTCTGCTTAATGTGACTAGTTATTATCATTTTTACCATCATAACTTTCTGTAAATCTTCTCAAATTATGCGTATTGTATGAAAAGCACTACATTTAAAACTGACTTTATAGGCTCTTTTGTGCATGACAGTGATAAGGTTTTGTGGTAGTTCCCCTCTCAGTTAATATTTTGTCTGCCTTGAAAGTAATCATTGAGTTATTTCTTTATTTTGTGCGTTGTTTAGCTATCACCATCCGAGGAATAGACCGTGTTCTGTTGAGTAAAGTCTTTATTTTTGTCAGTTTATATTGTATGAAATGATGTAACTGTTTTTCGCCTATATGACCTCGTTGAAGTGTGGGAATGAAGAGTTGAGGGCAATGAGGAGGTTGTTTTATTTGATTTGCATCCATTTGAAAATCAGTTAAACAGTCGAAGATTTTGTGTGTGTGAATAAATTGGTTGTCTTAGAGAATTGTGCCAGGAGGTGCATCTGTCGTTTGACGATGATAAACCCTCTGAATTGTGTAAGTTTTGCTAACGTTAGCTGGGCTGGTCATACTCGGTTAGGTCAGAATTGTGAATCATTGAACTTATTTGCAGATCTTAACCCGGTCTGTTGGGTACTGTAGTGTTTTGAGAGGAACTGGGAAGGTTAAAACTCTGATCTACCACCAGTGTTTCACCCGGCAGTGGCTACATGCTAGCTAGTTAGCATGATGCTAACCGACTATAACTGCATGTGAGGTGAACGCTGCTTCTTTTCAGTGTTTTCTCAACAGCTATGCTTTCAGTAAAGCAAGCAAGTTGCTTACGAGCTCTTGTGTGTTGTTTAACAATGAATTTTGCGGATAATGGAAGTTTTCATTTGGCTAGTTGACTTAGGTTTCTTTGCTAGGTTGCATGACTTTTCCTGCATTTGCATTCAGCATTTGTTGCACTACGCCAGTGCTGGACAGTGGATATTTTGTCTCACGAGCCATTCATTTGTTTTAATGGCTGTTGTTACATATGAACATTGAACAACATATTTGCATTTAAGAATTCATTGTCATTTTGCAGGACCCTTAATGTAAATATGTCCTGCAATAAAGTATAAGCTTTAAGTTATAAAGATTAATGAAGTCTCTGCACTCAAAAAAAATATTTTGGATTATTTTTATCCGAAGTATGGATGCAAGCTTATAGACACAACTGTGCTGTAAGATAATGAGATTAATAGGTTGGATTTATTATTCATACATTGATATTTACTGGCCACATGAAATGTTCTAAATATTGCTGATAGTAAGAAAACCTTAAAGGTTTAATTCACACAAAAAATCTGTCATCTACTGATTTAAAGTCGCTCCAAACCCATAAGATGTTTTATTCATCTTTGAAACACAAGTGAAGATATTTAAATGAAATCTCAGCGATTTCTATCCCACCATATATTGCTATGCAACTACCACTTTGATTCTTGAAAAAGTTCATAAAGAGATTTGTAAAACTAATAGGAATTGAGTGGTTTAGTCCACATTTTCTGAAGAGACATGATGAAAATGTGGATTAAACTGCATTTATGCACATAAACATTTATCAATATAAATAATGCCCATATTAAACATTCATCAATGCACACATCATTTATGATAAATTGAAGCTCAAGCATTCTTGCTTGACATGCGAGAACCAACAAGGTTCATTCCTGTGTGCAGCACATTTGAGCTTCCACAAGAACCAATAAAGTTTGTTCTCACGTGTGAAGCATGTATGGTTAAGCTTCTGTTTGTTCACTGATCAATGTTCGTATCAACGATTATATCCCTTTTAGAATGATATTTTTCAGAAAATATCAGAATTCAACAGACTTTAAAGAGCTGAAGTTTTTAAAGTGCAACGCAGGCTTCTAATAAACAATGTTTTTGTGGATTGGTGTGGATGCTTTATAGTTGTTATAGTTATCGTTATTGGGGTGAACAGGCATTAACAATGGTCATCTGTGATGTTTCACATGAAATGTTTTGCAGCAGAGTAGACCCATTTCATAAATCATCTGGTTTTGTCTCTGGAGATGGACAGGTGGAATGTTTAATTATTATCAGTGCAATTGGTCAGGCATTTTGAAGTTCTGGTGGCTCTCTTCATTTAGAAATAAACGTGTACATCTCTGTCACTCAGCTCAGCACTGTTGGTGAGAGCATTGCTTGCTGTCTGTCTGCTTCTGTTCAACTCTTCCCACAAACTAGCCCTGTCTGTCAAAACGTGTTGTCCCAGATACAGCTCTCTTCAAAGACCACAGTGCAGTGGTTAAATGAATGCCACTTCCTTTTAATTTTCATCACCAAAACATGTATTAATATTGGTACTAACATTATTAATCAACATATTCTGAAGCTTCCTAGATATTGTCTGTCTAAAAAGACTTTATGGTAGCCAACGTTTATTATTTTAATGAACAGTATTCTCTCATTGACTGATCTTTGTAAACAAGCAAACAATCATTTACTACGTCATTAAGCATGTGCTAGGCAGTGTGTTTAGCTTGTGTGTGTATAGCAATTTCATTATCTCCAGCCTAATTAATGTTCTAGCAATTTAACACACGATAGTCCAAAACATATATCCAGGAATACAAACTGAAACCTCCTGAACTGCTTGTCTTAGCAATAGCAAATGACTAATGTATTTAACCTTTTCTGTCACCTTCAGTTCTGTTAAACTTGGGTTGTAGGTGTATCCGATTCAGAGCTTTAAAGTATAACAAGGGGGGATAAGCAAGACCACCAGTTGAACATTGTGTGCTGCATTTGTATATTTACAATGATTGCTCCTCCTGTAATTCTATGTTGCTTTGTCTCTAGCGCTGTCTTTAGCGCTGTATTAGACTTAGTCATTCATGTGCCACATTTTAAGCTTATTAGCTGAAATGAAGTAAATGTTATAACATGCAAGTAAATGTTAAAGTTGAACTTTGTAAAGGCACTATGTTTTTTTTTTTTTTTTTTTTAAAGAAACTTAAGGCTGTAAAATAATTTCAAATTTAAGTTTGTGAGTGAGTGATATGGCATGAGTGATATGGCAAAAATATCACACCACGATTTTTCGAAACTTTTTCATTTTGGTTTTTAACGATTATTTTGCAAGTCACTGGGCAAGAGTCA